CCCTGGACACCCGCGACGCGATTTCCTCCATTACACTACTCATGTCCACATCTTCGTGGTCACCCACTCCGGCTCACACGTCAGCATAGCCGGCTGAATTGCAGACGACTCTTCTCCTCTCTGCTAGTTTGCGGACCGCGGAACGCCATGCCTGCAGACGTAGTCACGGCATCTACTTTAGCCGATTTCAAGTCTCGCCTGGACCGTTATTCTTCCCAACTGCACCGCGATCTCCCTTGAGACAAGTACCCGCTATCTTACATTTTAGACCCCAGCCTAGCCCCAGACAACTCCCGGCCGTTTCTCACCTGATGCAACAAACTGTTCTTCTTCCACTCTCAGCGCTCCCGGTTAACCTACTAATGGAGTCTCCTTTTTCTAGTCTATCTTATTCTTTTCTTAGCTGTATCAGAGAGAATGGTGGGGTGTCACGCTTTGAGCCAGCGTGCATTCTGTCTACATACCACATAGGCCCGCTGAAGATACGGACTGACACTCGGGTGCAACCCGTTATAATTCTGCTTGGCCTTTTCATAAGACCCAGCCCTAACTCGTTACACCCTATGGGTCATGTAATGCTACAGCTTTTATTCCCGTCAAATACAATGTTCCAATTTCAGCAATCCACATTTCTGGCCTGAACATCTGCTCCACTACCTGTGTCGGTCGAAATAAGCATACAGTCTTGCCTGTGTCTGTGACGCGTCTGAGCTTGGACGCCGTGGAAGCTAAGGTAGTCGTCATGCATTGCAGTTCGTCCACTACATGTGCAAGCAATACACAATCGTTAGCAAATTGCAGCATCTATAGATGGTTGTCTCACACACTAGGCTTCTTGCTCCAAAGCAGCGGGGGTTAAGCAGACCCCCATCGATGCGGTGCCCCAGAGGCACACCGTATTCACACGTGCTGAATTCGCACGATATCATTGCAGTCATATAGCTATTGAACCAAGTTGGGGCTAAGACGCATCCTTGCTTCACACCGGAGATAACGGCGAAGTCATCTGAAATCTGTCCACTCAGCTGCACCCTTACTCACATACCAGTGTGCTGGCATTCAAGCAGACAAATAAAATTTAGGGAATCAGCCATAACGCCTCACGGTTCCCCGTATCGAACGTTTTAGTGATGTCGACGAAGAGCGAGTACAACGGTTCACTGCGTGCACGAAATATTTCCTGTATTGGACGCGTTGCGCACACAATGTCAATGGTACTTCGGCCCGAGCAGAAGCCACATTACTCTTCAGCTACGTTCGGGTCCTGTAGATATGTCACAAGGCGCTTGGGCAGGATGCGCACAAAACCTAGCCGACGCAGCTAAGCAAATTGATGTCACGCTACTTGTTGGTGTATTGCTTGCTGCCCTTTCCCTTGTACAGTGGAATCACAAGAGCATCCTTCAACTCTGCAGGCAATTGCTCTTCCCTTCAGACGGCTTCCACCTAGTGATGGAGTGCGCGCTCCTCAGTATATCCGGAGGCGTCAGCATCACCAGCGCATTTCTCATTCCGTAGTTGAGAAACCGCTCACTGTGTTTCGCACATTCCTAGAGTGCCTTCAAGTTTGGATAGTACGCTGTGGTGTTGCAGCCCATGCAGCGTGTCCCAGTTAGCCTCGGATCGATTGTCCAGGTGGGTGTCAAGATGTATGTGCCACATCTCCAAGACATCAGATTGTGTATAGACGGCGCCAGTCACATAGTCTTTCAGGGTCTTCATTGACTGTACGTGGGCGGAAACGTAGGCCAGAGTCGAATCGATCATCTCTTGTCCGAGGTAAGTGAGAAGTAACATGCATGTGGAACCATCAGGCAGTCGGTCGTGTCTATATATATATATATATATATATATATATATATATATATATATATATATATATATATATATATATATATATATATATATATATATATATATATATATATATGGTTGGCGGCATCCGGTTTCGGATTTGCCTGTCACTGTGGCAAGCCACAGGACGCCTGCGCCTACAGAGGGACCATGAATGGCTTGCGCTGCACCACCCACAGCTCCAACCACACACCCCATATCCAGTGTAAACCCGAAGGAATAAGACCGGGAGGCATGTGGATGGGAGCCACGTTTCATCAACGGAGCCGGCCCACACTCCTTCACAGGCAAACACAAGTACACTGTATTTGGGGAATCAGGCGCACACAAGGCGGTGGCTGGACCGTAGTCCGCTCCACACTGAGTGCATGGAACCACTCTTCGAGCCTAACACGGCCACAAGGACCGTGCACCCCGTCCCCTCCAGCAACGACCAACTGTCTCCTGGAGCCAGTATGGACGACGTAGTGGGTAATAGACAGGTAGGCACCTTGTCAACATGCACATCAAGCGCAGCCACACCGGGGATATCAAACAACAGCCAATCACTTGAGAGAGAGAAAGAAAAAGAGAAAAACTCGATTAATGCATAAGGAAACGGTGACATAAACCTTAATTAAATAGCATACGTAATAAGTAGTTTACAAACAAATCCTAGCTAAGTGCACGAGGTCAGGAAGTATAGTTCACGGTATGCCACGAACACAAAAATGTTATGGAAATCGAATACAATTGGCTGAAGCGATGTGTGCAAGTTAATGGAATAGAGTACAGGGAGGTATTTATATGAGAAAGAAAAGCAGTAAGGTAAAAACTGTAAACCCACCACCTGAAATAAAGAGACTTAGCATGCAAGCACGCGTTTAGTAAATCGAATTCAGCGTGCCTACAAACGCTGCGCCGGCTCGCCGTAATTCTCTGCAGGACCCGTCGTCGCTTCTGTAGTGGCCCCAAAGGACCTAGCTCATGGCCCACTAGACATTTATATGAGAAAGAATATATATATATATATATATATATATATATATATATATATATATATATATATATATATATATATATGAGGACTTCAGTTAGTTGGCACACACAACCGTCGTGGAGTCAAGCGCAGATTTCTTGCTCTGCACACAGCATGTAAGCTAACACAAAAGACCCAAGAAGTGGCCAACCTCCTTGGACAAAAACAGACGTGCCTTCAAAAGTGTACCCTCATCTGACATCTTTCTTACAGCGCACATGCAGCCATCGGGGCTTAACCACATATTCTTTACTACCGCAAGTCTACTGAGGTGGCTGATGCCTTTGTTCCAGTACAGCTCCCATAGCGCAGTCGATATTCGCCCCAAGGCCTTGAAGGTGGCTGCCGTGAGTTTAACAGAGTCGTTAGTCAGATTTTCTAAACGATGTCCTGATAAGATGCAGTTGCCCACAATGTAGAAGCACGGGATCATCACGCAAATCTACACCAGTGGCAACCGTGCAGAACCAGCGAATTATCGGATGATAGCACTAATTCCGGTGGAGCCCGCTCTCACTGAGACACTAGTGGGCTACCTGGAGACTAGCAAAATTCCCACTCGGGAGCAGCACGGATTACACCAGAATCGGTCATGCATCATGAACCTGCTAATAGACCGTGCTTGATAGACGGTGTGTTGTGAATGCTGGAGTAGGGGTAGATGTGGCCTAGCTGGATTTCTCAGACATTCGACCATTTGGATCACCGCGTTCTATTTTATAAGATGTAGAATTATGGAATCGGTCTTCCTCTTTTGTGCTGTATACGCAGATTTCAGTTTCAACCTCATTTGAACGTGAGGGTTCGCAGCACGCTTATCCGACCCTATCGAAATCCAGTGCGGCGTACTTTAAGGCTCCGTACTCAGGCCTAGCCTGTTACTGATCTTCATAAATGACCTCGCGAATGTGCTCTCTTCGAAGATGTAAACACATAGCGTGCTATCACTACAATGGACGGTCACGCAGCCCTGCAGTGATTTGTGTAGAGGTTGTACGCAGTCCACTGACAACGTGATCCAATTCAAGAAGGTGAAATACAAAGTTCTGAGCATGCGCCACCAGAGTACCCACGACTACCAGCTAGAATCACAAGTTCTACAGCGCGCTTCTCGTAAGTGCGATGTTGGCGTCTTCGTCCAAGATGATCTAGTTTGTTTGAGATAGATCGAGAAAGCATCAAAGAAAGCAAATCAGCACTTCGGCCTCCTTCGAAGAACGTTCGGAAGGTTCGATGTCTCAGTCTTTCAGCAAATGATTGCCGCGTACGTCAGGCCACATATAGAATACCCTAAGTTGGCCTTATCAAAAGCATAGTCTCACCGCGTTGACGACTGTACAACTCAGAGCAACAAAGAACATCAGGTCTATGTCCCACTTCACTTATTTACTCAGGTTGAAAACTGCAGGAGTATACAGCCTACATTGTCGGCGTCTACGAGATGACCTCAAATGGTGTAGTGGAGCCTAAAATCCCCAACCACACATGCCACCATCTTTTGAAATTCATCCCAAACATATCTGACGGACCATCAGTTTAACATGGCCACGCAGTACAGCCGCATGGAATGTCGACGAAATATTTTCGCCCTTCCTGCCCCGGTCCTAGAACGCTCCCAGCGCTCGTAGTTATTACACCTACCTTATCACCATTCAAGAGACAACTAGCCGACTTGACGACACACTGACACATTCACAGTACGTAACATAGCCCGTGCTCACCGAATGACGGCATTAGCACAGAACAAACACTGAACTTATGAAACTTTAAACACCAGGTTGGCTTTCTCTCATTCGCGCTATTATTACAAAGTATTGCTTAGTTCTGCAAAGTGTGGTTTTCATTTTTAATTTCCCTAACCATCCTACGGGAGTTATCAAGCATTTGTTTTTCCACCCGTTACAAATTATTGCTCCGTAGTATGTCAAATGTTGATCGCGAGATTCCAACCGAATCCAGATTCCGAATCCTAAGTTGTCATCTAAGAAGCGAGCAGTTGTCAGTGTTGTATCCCTTGTATAAGCCATCGTGTAGGTACTTTTGGCACAGATGTTGTACTAGTTGTTTCAGATTAACACGAAACTTAATAGTACGCATCCTACCTTGATCTCTTCTGTTCCATTCGCAGAATCGTCCGCATTATTTTACAGCACTGTCTTACTCAAACTCCATGGCTAGTGGATGAACCACAACCGGACGGCCTGACTGCATTGCATTTGGCTGCGTTCCACGGGCACTTAGAGGTGTGCGATTTGCTTTTACAGGCTGGCGCCAACTCCAACTGTGCTGTGCATCGACCAGCCGGATTACTGCTACCACAGCTGCAGTCGACCACACGCGGTGATGTTTCGTTGACCGCGTACACTCCACTCCACCTGGCGGTGCACAAGGAGCATCCGGATGTCGTTTGTATGCTGTTATGCTATGGGGCTCGAGCTACTGGACGCAGTGGAGGGGGCAGAAGCCCCATGCAGTTGGCCTTGACCGCCCTGTCGGCTCAGGCGGATGATGGTGCCCAGGTGAGTCACCCCACTCTCGCACACCAGATTACGTGTGTGAAAGCAGACTTCATCGGCTGGTTTTATTTTTGTATCAACCTTTCAGCACACACGATGACCCAAATCTGCCGGGAGGCTACGGAGTTCTCCCCTCCCACATTCCCCGCCTGCAGGAATCAGGTGCTAAGTACGCGTGTCGCTGTCATCGAAATGCTTGGGTTGTTTATAACATCCGACATGCCCAACCTTTCTGGTACATCAACCACACGCACGCGTTCATTATGCTCGGGGCGAACGACATTACGAGAGAGTTAGGTGGGAGAATAATGTATTCCGATTGCCCACGGGTGCGAAAATGATCAGACATACGTTATGTTCCTATCAAATGCGATTCAGGAGATGGATAGTAGAGCAGAGGGCGGGACGTGTCAAGCACTTGCTTTTATCCCGTGATAAATCATTGTTCATTGTTCATTGAATTGGCAAATGTGCAGTCGGACACTCCAATCATGTAAGACAGTGGGTAGCCAAAACTGCACGCGAGCGTGGTTTCCACCGCATTCACATAAAAGTTCAGGTGAAATAATCATTTTGATAAGTAAGGAAAAAAGACGAAGGCTAATGGATGCATGCATTTCGTATTGTTTCCTCAGTACCATAACCGATATGCATAGATACAGCTAACAATGGGTGCAATCAAACAAGTTTGTGGTGCAAAACGAATGATGGAAGTTCACCCCTAACTCCAGAGCAGCTTTAGGCCGACAAATGATTACTGCTGAACGCACCGAGCTGGCTTCCTTCGGCTTATAGCGACAGTCTCAACAATCCGAAGGAAGCGGGGATTAGCGTGATGCAACACAACTTTGACAATGAGCCTAGCTCTATCCGATGAGCCGAGACAAATAGGTGTTTGCCTATCTAGGAAGCCGGTGGGCTACGCGAGCACGGAATTTGGCGGGGGTAGGAAATCTGTGCAACTTCAGGCTGAATCCATCTCGGCACGCTCCTTTATTCGGGAAATCAGCGTCCTACCAGTTCTGCCTAAGTAACTGTCTCCGCAGTCACACAAATTGATATACACCATGTGAGTTGTCCCCGATATGTTGAGCTTCTTTCGTTGGAGGTATGTGAAAATTTCGGGTTCGGTTGATGACGGCAACTTGTGCGGCATAGTAACTTCCTTACATATCAGAAATTTTACACTTAGTTTTCTTCAGCGTGGCTAAATCATCTTTGAAAGGTAACTCCATATATCCTTCCTTCTTGGCTGCCGTGTGCATCAAGTGCTTTGGCCCTCACGGTTGGCTGTTTCTCCGTAAATCTTCGCGGGTAGCCGTTCGCCATTAGCGTTACTGTACTTACCACTAGCTCATCGTTCAGACGGTTGGCTGAACAAATTCGTCTGGCACGACTAACTAGAGCCTTCATAATTGTCCGTTTGTACCGCACTAGTGTGCAGTTGGTGAAATGCCGGTACTGACCGGAGCAAGTTGATTTTCGGTAAATGAACCTCTTACTCATTCCATCATCCCTGCGACTTATGGGGATGTCCAGATCTGACAGACGATTGTTGTGTTCCACTTCCCATATAACCCGTAAGTTAGCATAAGCAACCTTGAGGTCTCCTACCAAATGTATGAGCTGTTGTCAATGGTACTGAGGAGACAATACGAAATGTATGCATCTACCAGCCTTCGTCCTTTTTCTGGGCTTTTCAACTTGTTGAAGAGAACTAACTACTTTACATTATCATTCCTTCCTTATTTATTCCTTCCTTACACATTGAAGGTAGCAGATCGAGTGAGGCTACCACTTGTTTAAAGTTTAGATAGGCTGCCTCCACCTCGATGAATGTGCGAGATCACGCGTCTAGATTCGTATTAAGCAACTGTGTGGCAAACCCAGAATGGCACACACACATATAGTGGATGCACCCAAACAGTGTATTATTCTGGTCTGATGAGCGGTTCGCATCCGCAGCCATATTAGTCCAAAAGGTCTAAACAGCTGTGTTCTCGTTTGTCCGGTGGTGGTCTGATCTGCTTCAGGTACGGCTTATCCTATCCAGTATTTACATCCCTACATCCAACTGCCTGCTGCATCGAAAGCGTTCTACACTCAAAGTTCCTCAAATTCAGTGTGCAAAGGCTTTCCTTCCTGTGAGGAACAGTGTATGCTTGAGTAAGGTAGGCAAGGGCGAAAGGAGCCAACTTTTACTGAGCATTTGGGTGTCCACAGTTTACCACAAGACTACACACGCCACTAGGGGGATGCCGGGTGCGCCTTGCGTAATGTTGTCATAAACACTTGTCTGACCATAGATTTTCAGGCAGCCCCTCAATGTCTGACAGAGAATACCGAACAGCGGTCGATTTTCGTGTCTGGTGACTAAAACTGTGTCATAATATTGCGATGCATGTTTACACCTAGGCGTAGTTGCAAAGCAACGTCTACAACTTTGTCTCGCGACGCATAATGTGTCCAGCTTCGTCATGCTTCCATATGTCTGTGTTCTACGTATAACGAATAGAAGGTTGCGTATGAACATTTTGGTTTAGCATATGTGTACTCTAAATTTTTAATCCTCGCATCTCGCACTCCTAGACTCTCTTTCCTTTTTTCGGTGGCAACAATGTGGTTCACTACTTCAAGGCAAAGTCAGACACAATCACCCTTAGGAACATGTGACCAAGGACATAATCCAACGGAGTAGTCTTCTATTTTGCGTGATTAATTGGCATCATCAAACATAATATGCTTGCAGAATGAATCAAGTCTGGCCCGGTTCACGGTGAATTACGCTGTGTACAATAAGTTCGCCTAAAAGATTGCAACACAACTAATAATAATAAATAATGCGTCAGCTGTACGCCGTTACGGCGCTTCGTAGACGCGCGACCACCACCAGTCGAGCGCGGGCTGAGTATACTGTGTACGCCCACCCCTACGCGGATTCGAACCGGTGACCTTATGGTTGCAAAGCAAACGTGCAGACCACTCGGCCACCGGCCTGGGGTACTTTAATTTGATGTGAACCGACTCCTTGAAATGTTAGGCACCTTTGCACACCTCTCATGCTCTACTTGTTTCGGAGTAGCCATATGAGATGTTTCGAAAAACTGCTCATTCTCTATTAACCATCATTGAGAAGAGCGGTTTCAGTACGGAAGCAGGTAGGTATGGGTCAACAATGACCTCTTTTATCAGTCGGTTTCACTTCACGAATGAAACTCTTCATGGAAGTACACTCGGTAATCCCTTTCTCCGTTTCAGTACTCTGGACATCCTCCAAAGAAATTGGAGGTGGCAATGGTCCCCTTCCTAGCCTCCGTGGCGCGTCTCTTGATTTGCATGGCGGACTCCCTCATCTTCACAACTGGTCCCTCAAGCATCCCTTCACCAGTGGGGGCCTTATCGACCCCAAGGTACCCCTCTGGAGTGGCCCCGGCAAACGGACAACATCTGATATCGATTGAAGATGAGCCAGGTGCAGACGATGAAGGCGGTTCTTATGCCCAAGTACAGAACTCCCCCAGACTTATTTTGAGTAGTCCTTTAAGCCGCAGGTTGAAATCTACCATACAAGCCACACTAGAGACTCGTGTCCCCCGTTTGGTGTTGATAGCGGCCTGTCTGGCCTCAGCTATTGGAGCCGAGCACCGCCTACCCAGCCAACCGGATACAGATGACGAAGTTGAATCGGACGAGACAGAGGGAAGAACAGGATCGATTGCTGATAACTTCGTTACTGACGTATTTTCCGAGAGCCTTGATCCCGTCCTACAGTTGGCCCTTCAACAGTGCCACATGGAGTCTATGAACTTAGTCTCGACAGTCCGCACTCAAATGACTAGAGCTCCGGATGCCGATGTGCGATGCAGCCAGAGAACTAAATGTAGACTGCCACAGGTCGATGCTGGCACGAGTGCCGAGGAAAATTTGGTGGACCTTTTATTCCAAGTGGACAGCTCTGTTCATGATCCGGTTGGTTTGATGCCCAGCACAGTGTGCAACGTCATCGATCTGCCAATGCGGGACAGTCGGAACCAACCGGTCACAGCGGCGAATCCGTTCAACATGACCTTGAACAATGCGCACCGGCCCACATCGTCTCGCTTGATGCCACCGTCTCTGAATGAAATCGATCCAGAGTGGCGCGAATGCTTGGTCTGTTCGGAAAATGACCGGGCCACAGTGGCCATACCATGTGGACACATTATCACGTGTGACGGTTGTAGCTCGTTGGTCAAAAAATGTCTCCTGTGCAGACAACGTATCACTGGGTTTCGTCAGGTGAGAATTTGATGTTGTGAGGTCCTAGGAAAAGTTGAGTACTTCGGTTTGTCCCCATAAATTTAACTTGCGCTTGTTGTTGTGATATATCTACACTCGAGGTTTGAAAAATTTCCCACGTCGTTCTGATGTGAACCGTTTGTGGTAACTAATCCATTCAAAATGGTGTCGGACGTCTGTTCGAATACCGTGTCGATGATGATAACACCTTCCGCCCTTTATTACTCTTAACACACACAACTATATTTAACTGGCCAAAACAGTGTGGACGTTCAGGTTGGCGAAAATGAACATTTCCCTGAGAGGGTATATTTGATTATCCAGCTGGTTTTCATGTCTGGACTTGAACCGATTTGTTGTGCTACTGAATTTTCTCCTGCCGACAAAGTGTAAACTAGGTTTTGTGTGGTGTAATAAGGCGTACTTCCACAAACTTTGAGTACTCGGAATGTGTTGTGTCAAAAGTTTGTATGCCCCGCTCCATATTCCTACACTCTGCGCAACTAGCCCGAGTTGTTCCAAAAGACAAAAGTGTGCTTTGTAGGCTGACTGAATAGACAGACATTTTGTGTTGTGTTAGATATTCTTACCAGATCTGTCGAGCTATGGTACTTGGGTGTTTGACGTTCTCTGTTCTCCATATTCGCTGAGAAGCGGATTCGTTGACTGTCTACTGACCAACCCGAGATAGGTTGTGGAACGAAGTAACTCGAAAACGGATGAGAGTGCACTTGCCTCTTTGACCATGCAAGAAAACTAATGCGCTTTTAATTCCGTGATGAAGCGGTTGTCTAAGCAGGCTGTTCGGTAACAGGTAAAACTTGGGATTGTGGCGGGAAGCCCATCCATTCTTTTGACGGTTAAGTAACGAATGTGTGTAGACTGTCTGCTTCGGAAGCACTAAATTTTGCGCAATGTCCGTCGTTCCACATTATACCAGTCGAAGGTATGATTCACCCAAGAGCTCGGTTCAATGAAACAGGAACGCTGCTAGTACACAGCCATGTGTCTGCAGCCGCAGATGAAAATCTCATAAGTTACAAAAACTGAATTTGAATCAGGCGATTCACGATCTCTCAAAAGAACAATATTCGTTGCAGTTCAACCTCAGTACCAGCTCACTGAACAAAACGCTGTACATGCTTTGACCGGTATCTCACGTAATGTAGGTAAAGCAGGGGAACTGAGCCGTGTTGGTTTTTTGATTTTGAAAAGTATCCGTTATGTGACCAATGGCTTGGAAATAATCCACTGGCATGCAGGATATCTAAAGTAAGAAATATTCCACATAATTCCAACTAAAAATATCGCAACCTAAAGACTGTGGGTCAACCTAGTCCTTTATGCATTCCCTTCAACCTCGAACATACAACCGATAAGAATTAAATACTCGAGGCATTGAAACTTCGATTCTCTGCTAACCGACGAGAATTAAGTACATTCCAACAAAACACGCAAAGTTCAGAGGCAACGTCAGACGGTTCCGCACGTTGCTTAGGCTAAAAATGTAAGTCACTTGATTATTAAAGAAGATTTTATGAGATACATCAGACCAATCTAGCGGTCTATAATCGTCGGTAGAATGGGGGGGAGCGATTATTCATATTGCCGCAAAAGTATGGGGTATATACCGGGCACAGGTAAATAGGTCAAACCCGAAGCATCACTGTCACTCAAGTCTCACAACCACAACTTACCGGAAGCCATTACTTTGATTTTGTCTACCGCTATGCGCACAGAAGCGACTGACACTGGTTTTGCACCTACCACGTTGGGGTGAAGTGGACTACCTAACCACCAACTTTTCGTTGAGTGACGATTCCTCGCTCCCTTTCAAAACTTTATTAGCCTCGTTTCCTACTGAAACGAATGAACAGACTAATTGAGTCCCCTCACAACTTGCGTCTTATGGTTGTTTGCTTTTGGAGTATCTGCGGTGTGTCTGGATTCTGACAGACAATCTCAACTATGGTCTCAGTTGACTTTGAAGTCAACCTATGACCTTCCGATCATGAGATTTGTTGTGTGCTCGCTAAAGTAATGAACCAATACAGTCCTATCACCAATACTTTAGGTTACCGGAAGACAGCGCACACATCCGATGGAGCTGAATTATTGGCAGTTCACGCTGCTTGAAGTTACACTAATAGGAGGCGAGTAAGGCGTGCGCTATGCCTGTTTGGCCTACCTAAGTTCAGAGTTCCAGGCCATTTTTGCAATGTACGCTTTGTATTTCATTCACCGCATGCTGCTAAGTTTGCTTTGCTTTTTGTTCCACTCTCGCCTCTCAGTTCACCAACTGCTGTGAATGTCAGCAGGCACACGGAGTCATCGTTGCCCGTCCATGCAACCACATGTTATGGTGTGGAGCTTGTTTACAACTCAAAGTGACCAACCTGGATGCCGCGTCTGCCCTACTACACTCTGCTGATCCGATCGGTCATGCCAACGAAATGATGTTCACGCCTGACGCTAATCGCAGAGACATTACAGCCAGCGAGCACGCAACACAGTCAGCAACCGCAGCATCCGGGGAATGGCGCGAAGTACCACTCAGTCAGCTTCTCGCAATGATAAACAGTCTGAGTACATTACTAGATGACTTGGCCGCTGGAGGGCTATGTATAGACGGGTGTCCTGTGTGCAACGCGCCAGTAGAAACCCTTTGGCCAATCATTGTTTCTTGTGCTGGAGTGGAGTACCGATCGACAACGTTAGCTAATACCGAAGCAGATCTTATCCTCAACGCTGTATCCCCAGACGTTTCTAACAGAGGTAATGATTCGCGGGTAGTTACTCAATCATACGGAACGGGTTCACCAATCTTCAATGCTGATGACGGAATTACGAATTTCATGAGACAGCAATTCAGGGAATGTGAGTTCAACTCCCCTCTCATCTCAAGCCTTGCAGCATGCTCACTAGTATACTTCAACTCAAAAACTGATTTCACTTTAGTAGACGTTCTCACGTTATGTTAAGATCTGTAGTTTACTTAGCTACTGGCAACAATAAATTCGGAAGTCAGATCGTGCAGTAAATCCATAGACTTAAGGATAACGCTCTCATTTTCCGTTCAGAAACACGTCATCTCAACTTTTGCTTGGTCTCTCCCTGTAGTCCAAGATTGATTTGTCACAGAAACTTACGTCCCACCATGAACTCATGCGATTTTCCCTGACACCGTTTCCACTGACTGAAGTGCACACATTAGGAATATCCTGCAGCAATGTCAGCTGCAGCTCAGAGTTCGTAGTGGGTTATCCGATCCGATTCGTGCCTAGTATACAGTTTCACTAGTTCGTACCCGTTTCTTGTATTCATTAACGATCTAGTGCGTGTGTTGCCACAACATTGCTATGTTGCTGGTTGGTTTAAGCTATGGCGAGCAATTACGGACACTAGATATGACATCTCTCCAGAGAAAACTGGTAAATGCTTATGAATGGGCGGCATTGGATTTGCTCTAGTTTAATTTGCTAAAATAAAATATAGTTCGAATGCACCATTGGTCAAAGAGTACATGACTAGTTAGAGACCACGTTCTGCAAGAGGTTTCCTAGGAGCATGATCATGAACTACTATTTCAGGATAACCTCCGGTGCTTCGCAACGTACCATGGTGTAAAAAACGGGAGCCAACGCTTCGGCCTTCTGTGGAGGGCGTTCGAGCAGTTTTTCTCATGTATGGCCGCAGATGATTGGCACCTACATTCGGTCTCAAATGGAATACGCGATCCAAGCCTGAAATTCCTTAAAGAAGCAGACTCTCATGGCACAAGACTCTACAGTGAAGAGTAGCAAAGTGGACTAGGGAACTGTTTCACCATCCACATCAGCTTGGGCCGAGATCCATAAAACTTACAGGGGTCGCTATCGACGCCTACAGAACGATGTTAAATCAGGGTACCAGATTTTAAAGACCGTCAACTTTAGGACAGCTACAAAACCAACCTGAAAGTTATCATAGTTACTTGGCCACTTATACAGCCAGCTAGAGTGTCACCCGAACGTTTGCTCTCTTCGTGTATGCCACCTATGAAACTTCCTCTTTAATCATGTAATCTCATCTCCACATTGTCCTTGTCTAAGATAAATCGTTACTGTACCCTGGCGCACCGAAAGAGGATGTAACAGAGGGTGCTGTCTTTAACAGTCCACCACATAATCAAGATGGGTACTTTTACGTACCCCTCCGTGTGAACACTAAGGGGAGCAAACCAACGTTCAGTAATTTTGTCAACATATAGTTTTCCAGCTTCGGGTTCACGTCGTGTCCATCCCACTAGAATGGTTAGGCCCTTCTCATTTTGCCTTAGGGTGCTTCGCAGTAGCCTGCAAGTCAGACAGTCATCCACACACCCCGGAAAAGCACTAGAAGACCTCTGGTGGGCAACATCCACGTTCCATCTGTTTCACCTACGATCCTAGTGATGGCATTGACCAATATATATATATATATATATATATATATATATATATATATATATATATATATATACATATATATATATATATATATATATATATATATATATATATATGCACTTTACGCGTGCAGTTCGAGCAGAGTGGAGGCTTTTGGCGAGCTGTCAGCCTTCCTCAATAGTTCTTGCAGTCACCTTTTCCTTTGAACTTCCCCACTGACTAAATTCTGGAAACTAGTTGGAAGGTGTGTAACACCTTTTAGATGATCGACTCCAGGACTTCGGTTGCATCGACGGCGTTTCGCTAACCTATGACAGCTTACTAGCGTGCTAAGCACTACCGGACAGATTAACACTGGCCGGCAGTCATATTGGGCTATGCTTTACATTTCAAAATCAACGCGCTCTCTCAAGATTGACGGGGTTCTATCCTCTGCACCGACCCTCAGTGGAGAGCAACTAATCGTCCAGAAATTTAACTACCTGGTCAGCTGTATCATCGCATGTAAAATAGAGGATAAGGAAATCATAATGACTCGTGGCGCTTTTGCTAATGATCGCCACTTATGGCACCGGCACATCACTGTCACTCTGAAAGGTATAGTAGACGATGCAGCCGTCTTTGTGTAGATTGGTCGCAGTTAGACACAGGCAGGCTGTCTGCCTGCCTACCAGATGAGTTGGTCAAGAGGAATGAAGGCTCTTATCTGAGGCTTTGACTCGGTAGGCTCCGGCTCTCGGGTGGGGATAGGGAAGACATTGAACACATTTGGCTGGATATACCAGCTAACATGAAAAAGAGCCAACCTCGGTGGCGTTTGTGCGGAGCATTTGTCCTTTTTCCTCTAACTAAGCACATGCTCGACGCATAGAAAAACAAATCATGACATTACTCACCTTCATAATGCATTTCGTACTATGTATCCTTTTTTCAACAGCTGAGGTGCTCCTCGTCTTTAGCTAAACTGCAGAATGATGATGGTGCTGACTGCAGCACAACTCAAGACTCCCCGCTAGGAAAATCTCCAATCACGTGTGAGCTAGGGGTCCCAAATAGCAAGAAGAGTGTCAGGCAGAGGTCGGCCATAAGAGAACTCTCCGAAACCGTTCTACAATTTGCGTGATGACCAAACTGATCAAGATTAAGAAATGCTTTGAATAAAGGACCAAAAAATACGGTTTAAATGTTCCAAGAAAAAATCCAGGATGGAGACGTCTACACGGTTATCACACCGAAAAGCGGGTGTTGCACCAATCATGTTTATCGAAAGGATTAACTACAGTCAAGGATCGACCAAGGATAAGTCATGACGGGTTATATAGTAATAGTCAGAGAATGTAGTTTGGAGTGCTAACGACACGACACGAAATCAGTGCTCACTTGGCATCGCGTACTGCACATGGTAACCGTAATTTGCAGTGAGTGGGGGGCTGTTGTCTCTCGAACAAGCATAAGCGCAACCATCTTGAAATGTCTAGCAGAACGAAACACGCCAGTGGATCTCCATGGAGTAACTACCTTGAGAAATCGGTTATACACATAATGTGGAATACAGATGGCAGATAGTATGTCATATTAAACCCCGATATTCTTTGCACCCCCAGACGGACATGCAGTAGTGCATTTATTGCCAGAAAGGCAGACATTAATGTTTAACGCTGTGCCCCATCTTATGGATGCAAATACTAGGCAAAACGGGAGGCTCACTGCAAGGTCAGAATAGGAAAGGGCAAAGTAGGCTACAGTGGAAGTGTAAATGTATGGGCAATGAATTGACATATTTGAACTCAAGTCTCAGGAACACACTGGGTACGCAGCAAGCAAAAACATGAACAGCGTTGTACGGGCTGATGCCAGCTGCAGTCAAAAGCACCAGGTGCTATTCAATGTGCCTAATGTTGCAGTGCAAACTGCAGGGTCTCCGCCCAAATAAAGCACATCTATCAATGAAGGTTTTGCGCCCAAATTGAGTAATGTAATATGAAGACCTCAGAGTCGATGACCGGATAAGATGGTAAGGACAACAAAAAATGAAACAGTGATCACCTTTGGAGATTCATCCTCGACAACATCTTTGAGATAAAGGTTGACGTAATCCATGAAAATTTTCACAGGTAACCTTTTACCATTCAGGAAAATTTTCAAATTATTGGTGGTAGCAGCTAAGTCGTAAGCGTGGCGAACGAAAAGAGCAACAGTATCCTACTCCAACTCCGTCATCCCGAAACGATTCAAGTCGGGGTAAAATGTGATGCTGGTGAAATCCTCGCCTTTGTCGACAGATGTTTCGGGTTCGGAAGTCTTTATCATATTGTCAATCCATATATATGGATATATATATATATATCATCACATACTTCTGACTGCATGTTTAACGCTCTGTTATGTCGCTTCGAGGCAACCAAGTAAAAGGCGGAGAAAATATGTAGAGTGCTGTCTGCTTGGAAATCTCCTCTTGTGTTTCTAACTGCCGATGAGAATATCTAATCTAGTTGGGCTGACTACCGAGTGTGATCGGCACTTACTAATAATTATTATATAATTATATAATTTTATATATAATTATATAATTAATTAGTTAATTAGTTAGTTAGTTAGTTAATAACTAATTAATTATAATAATTATATAATTATATAATTAAATATAATGATATATAATTATATTCGACAAAAGGATGGAACACCATAAGGATTATTGTTCTGAACCAAATGTGTACGTAAGTGTGAACCAAACGTACATCCATTGTCCATGGAGAGAACAGTTTTGTCGGCGGACACTTGCTTACATCCGTCGAGTAATCAAGAACTTGCTGCAAAAGCGAATGCCTTGCGATAATGAGCCTTGTGAAACATTTTGGCCGCACAGTTGATGTTTACTGCACTCCTATTTTTAACCATTCTCGTGGGTTTCATCATTCTGACGCTGCGCCTAGATTCTGACTGTGGGGTATAGGTCACTATTAGAGGGCAACATGAACAGGGTCTGCAAAGTAGGAAGATACCCGTGTTGAATCATGCGATTGATTTCACTCACGCTTGAAGTCTCCGCATAGAGATAACACTGTTTTCAGTTGAACCGATAACCTCGAGACTGCTGGTCTCTGCTACTGAAGTAGTGAACTAAGCGACTTCGCTTACGATGCTGCTTAACAGCTCAGTTTAGCATACCCGATGTGTTTGAGTGTGGATTGTAAAATGACATTTCATCCATGATCTTAATTAGCTCTGGAGTATAGATTTTCCCACTATCAGTTGGAACGATGAACAGGTAGTTTATCACATTTAAAGTACCGAAGAGTTGGAGGGTCATTTTAGCTTAGACGTTGTGTGATTGCATTGCGACATGCAATCTCAAAGTGAACCGCGATTCACATTGAAGTGAACCTTGGTCACTGCGCTCCCTGGGACAGTAACCGAAGCAGATGGAAATTAGGCGTTGTCTGCGACCAAATTAGGAATCACAAGCTCAAAAATAAACGATATCAGCTAGATAAGTCGCGGGTTGGTAAACTTGTCAAGATTCTTCACACAAACCTAAGCGTAAATCCACATACATCGGTCGTATCAGAAGGCCGGTTAGCGCGGTTTTCGTTTAAATTATGTCGTCACTTGAGGGACACGTAATGCAAATGGCTTAATACATTGTTACAGTATTAAAATAAGATGAGCGCAGAAGACATGTTGTAAAGAAAAATTAACTGGTGACATCCTACCCGGCAATGCTATGCGACCTTTTTCGTCCGACAGTCCCTCAGACAAGTAGTGTGGCTCAGCTTCCGAAGTAACGGTAAATATGGCTGGAGTTCTTCTAGATTTGGCAGGTGCCGATAAAGTCAGGTGTGCACTGATAGAACCGTCAGCCTATGCTGGTGTTGGAAGTGTAATGAGCCCATAACAACCTCAGCTGCTCTTCGCTGCGGGATTTCGGGTGCATTGGAATCGCGGTTCAGCCAAGACTACCAGGCCTTGATGGCGTATTCCACATAAGACTACAAACACGAGTTTGGTGATTATAAGGCGATAAAACATTTAAACCGCTGATCTCACGTCTCGAGTAGCTGAGGTATCAACTCCCGGCTTTGGCATGCTCATGGAGTGCTTCGAACAATCCCACAACCTCGTCGCTACTCCAAGATCGCATCCCCTGGGAACATTCTGTAAGATATGCGTTTAGTTGATGACCTAAGTGAACCACTGTATTTATCTGCGTTAATCTAAACTTGCCTTCTCTCTGCTCCTTTGTTGCGACTACCCGGGTATCATCGCGATGAGAATTGATCAATTGGATTACCAGTCGCCCACCTTGTTTTGACATCATGGGTAGAAATTAAAAGATTCCAAACGATCAGACACGCAAGGTCCTCATTGAGCACTAAAGAAAGGTACGACCCGAGCACCGAATGCTACGGAACATTACATGCTGCCTGAATTGATTCGGAAACTGAGCACGAAAGGTGAACGCGCAGCCGGCGCTGTAGAAGGACTGTGCACCAAATTTCCCAGACTTGCAGACGATGAAAAATGATGCATAGATCCAGACAAGGAGGACCTTTCAATTGTTCACCTACATAACATCGATTCCCGTCTAAATATTCGTGTTCAGTTCAAGTACCTTGCACAGTTGGTACTTAGGCTGATAATGCACAAGCAACGTTGACAGACGCTGTACTGACTGGGTGCTTTTGCGGCGTATCTTTCTACTTAGTACGGTAATGCCTTAGCAGCACTCACTTCCATCACCTTTTAGAGCACAGGAAGCAAAATCACTGGGTAATTGCTTGTGTGTTCTTTAAACGTTCGCCATTGAATATTGGAGCTCTGATCCGGAATAGCTTAGTGCCACTTCATGATTATAGCGTTGATCGAGCCGCCCTCGCACCAAACGTCAGAACATGTTTGTGTGTAAAAGTAGCACAGTTATGTTCTGTTGCCTTTAAATTCTACGAAACTTTAACGTGAAGTACCTAACCCTTGTTACTTGCCTGCTCCGGCTCATAACAAATAGCACATGGTGCGTGTAAGCTGATATCTAAAAATCTTGTGTGTTGAAATCTGCGAAGTGAACTTTCGAAAGTGTCCCATTATTTCCTAACGAAATTTGGTACGTGAGGTGGCTAAAAGGTAGTCATGGATGGTTATCTTGTTACTTTGCTGTCGCCTGACCCATGCCCCAGTACGTTTTTTTATTACTAGATCAGGTTTCTACGTGAGTGTTCATACGAGCATAGCGCGATCCACATAGCCTGATTACTCTACGACTCCGTTTAGAGTAATTAAAGCCATGGAGGCCCAGTGGAATAATACTAAGTGAAATCGTCAGAATTAGTTCTCCTCTCATTAGCAACCTTTGTTGAAACCGGCATAAATGCGACTGGCATTATATTCAAACTTGACCCTTATCTAGACGTTCTTGATTTGAATCTCTTTAGGTCCCCGTGAAACATCACACAATCGTTTAGAAGATTCAACAATAGCAATTACTGGTGCCACCTCAATGCAGGTAAGCTAACGTTAATTACTTCAATTGCCGCGTTGCGTATAATCTATGGTTAATTTTACAGATTGACGGACAAAGTCGCCTGGACATTTTTCAGCATCAACCGCTCTTTTTCTTGAAAAATACCCACAGCATCCGTGGGATAATCGATTTCATTTATGCTGCTTTGGCTGTCCGGCCAGGGCAGAATCCAAGGACGTAACAAGCTTTCGCCTAACGAGGGTCCCGTTTCGTGTGCCTGTAAACGAAACGGATCCTCCAGCACTTCGACTTGATAGTCAACCCTTGCGTCATGCACCATTACATATCAATCCTGTGAAACTGCTGCTACGGTTTATCATACATCTGCTCGAGGGGGACCACACAACTGGACGTCTACGATTGAGGATAAAATTTGGTTTAATTGCGCGTTTTCTTATCGTTCACTTTGTCCGATTATACTAATTTTTCACGGTCAACAACACGGTAATCGGTTTAATAGACTGTCACTGACGCCGGTCATCAGGTATCCAAATCAGGTACCACAAATACAGCTGCTGCAACACCTTGAGTTTTTATGCATTAGATCGCAATGGCCCCACTGAAGCCTCACCGGATTCAGCAAGCTAAACGTAGTGCACTTTCCACGCCACCAGCAAAACGAATAAAATGCGAGGCCCCAAAAGAAAAGCGAACCTGCTCCTCGGCTAAAACTATACTCATCGCAGAACTGTGATAAATTGCTTTCTTTAGTATCCCAATTTAATAAGATGAGAAAAACGCCACCACTCTTTGAACCCCTCAAAGATCAGCTGATTACGCTTGACTACATCAATAACCCGTTGGAGAAGACGGATCCTGTTCTAATGGGAAAAGCAAAGCAGTTATTTGCCTCTGTTGCCTCTGAAGTGGACGAAAGAATGTGTAGAGCAAAATATGTCATTGTTTTTAATGTTCCGGACAGGCTGAGTCTGAATAAAGTAAAACTAACGATACTGATAGCTTGTAGCATGTCTAACATTGATTGCAAATGCCAAGGTTTAAAAAAGAAGACACCGAAACATGGTTGTCCAATCATTTTCAAATTTTCGAGCGAGGAAGTCATGCAGCGATTCCTCCATTGTGGGCCCTTTCTATGCCAGTGAACCCATTTTAACAGCATTTTGAGTAAACCAAATAGGACACTCCTACAAAGCTTCGAACTTGGCGTTGTGCCGCGAACACCGGATAAAATAACTAGGCTCTACGAGAAATCTCAGCCAAACGTCCAGAAGACGAGTGCATCCAAGGTGGATACTAGATGCATTGATTTAGACATCGATAATCTAACAACGTTGTCAACTAGCTCCAAAGCCGTGTTTCCTTGTTCCACTGAAACATCCTTTACACACGGAACGGATAAAGCGGGTACTTTTATTCCTAACAACAACACTCCCATTATATAGAACTCCTTATGCACAAGAATTATAGAGAAGTCTAAGTACTTGACAACTCGTTGAATATAGCACAAACCGGTCCAAACCAACAAGACACGTCCAAGGATAGACAACCTGATGTAATTCATAGTCCACTCTCACCCAAGGACGACTTCTCTAATCCAGTGACATGTGTCTTAAAAAACGTATGGCTACTAACTGCTCGGTGGCACCCAAAATTCCCTATCGTCCAACCTCCTACAACCACCATGGCAAACAACCTTCGATGTTGAATATGACAAATAATAACTATCTCTTGGCTACGCCTAAATACCATTCTCCACTCCACCACATTCACTGGAGGTGCACATATAATGGTAGGACATCGCCCAGTAGGACTATGTCACCACCCGCACTTTTCCATGTTCCTTCAACTTTTCAAGAGACTTCTACCAAAAACCATTTTTTTTAGCGGCGAGGGGAATGGACTCGCACCTATTCCCATCTCAGATACATCAGGCGGAGGTCAACACCATGATCCCACTCTTCATCCAATTTGTCGAGATGATAAAGCTAGTCCATTGTCAAACCAACGGCAACCTAAACATGATGCCTCATTTCCCGTCGTGCCCCCAACCGTCTCGATGTCCACACAAGCAGAGAAGCCGACGAGCACCGGCAATCAACACTTCGGTCATCTTCGCAGAGCCTTCGGTCGGTTTGAACCCACAATCTTTCCCCAAATGCTTAGCACCTACTTGCGACCGCAAGTGGAATATGCTATTCAGGCTTGGCAGCCGTGGCAGAGACAGGATCTTCTTGCTCTCGAGACTCCTCAATGAAGGGCAACCAAGAACGTCAAGGCCACTTTCATCTGCCCTATCAGCTTAAACTGAAATCTCTAAGAATGTGCGGTAGTCGATATCGGTTTATGTGGGGGATCTCATAATAGTTTTCCAAATTCTGAAGAACCCAAATCACATTTGCCGTCTGCTGCTTGAATTGAACCACAACACTAACCTAAGAGGTCACCCTTTGAAACTGACAATTCAGTATAGCCGGCTTGAATACCGTAGGAATTTTTTTTCCCTCTGCGTGTGCCAGCCTTGTAACGCCCTCCCTAATGCTGTAGTCTCTGCTTCCAATCTGGCGATATTAAAAAAAAACGAGCTGACGATGTCTTGTCTCACATTTAATTTTATGACTTGTTAGCCAGTGGCCACAAAACGCAAACGGTGTCTTGCCAAACGCCTAACCAGTGGACTTATGCATGTATACCTTTAACACGCGAACATCGCTATTCTACATAAGTCTATGGTGTGTCCACCACAGCGCTTTTCACTTTACCATGCAAGTTACTTTTCCCAATAATTTCCATCCCACGGTACTTGCTAAGCAATGCTTTTTTACCCGTACTAAACCACTGTTCCATTGTACCCTTATCAACAAACTTTCTAATGGCTAACTCGGGCCCACCATACTCTCACTTACCTACCATGTGCACAATGCTCGAACATAAAGATTCAGATGATCACACAACGGACAGCGATCATTCCCCAATACTTAGTACATCTTCAGGGATTTTGATTAATGCCAGATCCATAATCAACAAAGTTCGTTGTATAAACACACTTGCACAATTCCATGACCCACAAGCAATCCTCGTCACTGAAATATGATGTTCTTCAGATACACTTGACTCTACTCTGATGATTCCAAACTACTACCTATTTCGAAAAGTTCGCTGCAACAAAAAAGTTGGAGGGTGTTATATATACCAACGCAAAACACTTACAGCTAAACCTATGGACCACTCGCAAGTGGAAAATATCCCTAAATCTATTTGGCTGTCAGTTGCGGGTGTCTCATCTTACACACTGCTCGCATGTAGCTACAACTTAACGAATGCGTCTAACGTAAGTATCACCAACATCACTTCTGCATTTGACTTCGCATCACAGTTGCCACACAGCCAGGAGATTATTGCCGGCGATTTCAACCTACCGAAAATACGCTGGTCATCCTACCCAACCTACCTTGCACGCCTCTTTTCTTTCTTCCATCAGAGCTTGGGGCTGGACACAATGGATTACCAATCCAACCAGGTCCGCCAATGTATTGGACTTAATATTCACGTTGGGAATACCCAATCCACAGACCGAGATTTTAAACGATCTCCCTGACAGTGACCATAACATGATGCGACTGTTTCCAAATTAAACTGGTCACTATACTCGCCTCTACAACGTCGGTTGCAACCCATAAGATAAACTGGGAATGCTTTCAGCAGTTCATTCGTTTCTCTGACTGGGATGTATTTTCCTCTCTACCAGTGTGTACACCGCTGTGGAACAGTTCTATAAACAAATCCATCACACTATAGCCCTCCTTGCTCCACAGTGTATTCATACCCCCCAAGTCTCCAAAAATTCCGTCGAGCACTTAATCAGCAACAAAACCAAAAAGTTAGCTGCAAGATACAAAAGGACCCATGACTTTTCACTTGTCTTACAAATGCATGAATTTGCCACCAGAGTCAAACATGCGCAATTAACACAACGAAGAAATGAAGAATACAGCCCTACGGACAAGTTGCAAAGCTAACGAGCTTGTCAAAATACTGCATCGTAGAACCAGTGACCGCTCTCCTCTGATTACCGAAATTGTTGATGGTGAGGGTTACTTACTCCATGCTGAAATCTGTGTAGCATTCATTGACTTTATTGCCACTATCATGAGTCGCGAAGCTGACCCAGTGCCTGTGGGCACAGAGCTCATAGTAACAACCCTCTTAATCAGAATCGATATCTCGCTCAACGCTATTCATCAAGTTATCAAATTAATCAGGACGTCTTCCAAGCTGGGATCTGATGGCATTTTATCAGCCACCATGAAACTAGGAGGACCCGATATACCATTGACACTGATAAGCATGCTCACTCAATCGCTGGAATCTAGCCACTTTCCAGACCAGTGGCAAACGTAATTTAGTATCCCTCGGCATAAAGGAGGTCCCAAACAAACGATTGATGACTACCGACCAATCCATCACACCGATAATCGCTCGGCTATTTGAAAAGCTGGTCAGAATGGAGGTGATGAATCTTGTTGATTCTATTGGCCTGCTCAATAATTCGCAGCATGATTTTCTCAATAAGCGATCGTGCACCATCTGTCAACTGCATTACCTTAATCACACTTCAGAATCAATCGATTCCGGCTATGTAGTAGCGATCTTGTTTCTTGATATACACCAAACTTTCGACCGAGGACCACACAAGCGACTGCTAGAAATGTTGAAGAAGTTTGGGATCCGGGACCCATTACTAGGTTGGCTATTGGCATAACTGAGTGATCGTCATCAGGCAGGCACTTTAGGTGATTTTTGCTCTTCCCCACGCTAAATCACCAGTGGAGTCATTCAAGGGTGCGTGCTCGATCCCTTTCACTTTTTGCTCTACATCAATGACATCACCACATCTGTAAAACAGGGTACATGATTTTTATTTGCTGACGATGTCAAAATCATCTATAAGCTTCGGCGTGACGTGCTTCACGGGATAGTACTACTCATTCAAGATGATTTACATTCCCTTGAGTCATGGTGCTGCACATGGGTGATGAACCTCGCGGTTAAGAAATCAAGCATCATGACTTCCGGCTGCTGCATTTCCTAAGAATCTATCACCCTAACCAATGAACGCGTCCCTACACAGTTAACCACGCGATAGCTTGTAATTCGGTACTCGTCTGCCTTCAATCACTCCGAACACGCCCAATACCAAGTAGCAGGTGCCAGACCGTCTATGTGCAGTATTTCAAACAAAATACACAGCTCGTGCTAGAGTTGAGCTTTTCAAGCTACTCAATCGCCCCATCCTCGAATACTGCAGCATAATATACGGCAATATCAGAGGGACAAATTGCTGTGGAGCACCTGTAGAGGCAAGTTATTAAACATCTGATTGGTAAACCCTCTGCTATGAGTTATCGAAAAGGTTACAATCAACTTCATCTCGAACCACTTTGAATTCGACGATTGAAGCACAACTAGTTGCTGCCATTCAACATGTTACACAAAAGTACCTATTCCAAATTGCCTACACTCAATTTACAACATTGCTCAACTCGAGCGCTTCACAACAAAGATTTTACATTGGATATACATTGAACATACCCAACGTCCGCTCTAATTTCTTCCTGGTCAGATATAGCTATCTGTGGAATAAAGTACCAATAACACTCAGGTCATGTGACAATGTGGCAACAGTTAGAATTCGACTAGCCAATTACCTTGATCTAACCACCCTAAGCTCTATATTCACGTGGGAAAAATCCCTCGATGAGCTATTCCAAGAGGGGCCCAAAAACATATAAACACCAATGTTTTCATAACTAGGCTTTGGCCTCAACCATCCGGCAGAATGTTAATACATGAAACGCATATCCCAATACTCCACCTATGCATGTCACCCATGCAAGAGCATGGATTCTTCTGTACAAATTGATCTGTGTCGCTATAGATACAGTTTCTCTTATCAAGAGAAATATACGTATTATTATTATTATTATTATTCTTGTTATTATTATTATTATTATTATTATAATATACCCAGCGGTGGATCACGTGAGCATCGTGTCATCTAATTCCAGTCCTCTTGCCCAATCCGCACGCGAATCTGTTCGTCCTACCTACAGTGATTGTGGTTTTCCATCGCATTTTGTCTCCATAGGGATTTCCTAAGTGCCATTTGTCATGTTGGCAATGAACATTTTGATATCAAATACCACATAGCTTGCAGTACATCGTTATAACTTGTGATTAAGAGAAGTCCCTTTGCGGGTGTATTGAGGCGTCGTTTTTTCCGCGCAAGAATTAAGCGCGAAGATAAGCTCTTCAACAAGTAAACACCGCTTTTTTCTTATTTATGATAAGCGATAGTTTAGAGTGGACCGCAACCTTGCTACAACTGCATTCGCAACCCGCAGAATTTGACTTGTATCTGGATCCAATCAGTGAAATCAGTGGTTTGCGTTGGTTTAGTTATTGTCTCTAAAGACATCATACGTGCTTCGTAAGGTATACGTTCAAGTCATTCGTTTTGTTTGAAGGTGTTAACAACCTTGTCTGACTTTTCATTCTTTTTATACTTCCAGCCAGTAACTCCAAACAATCACCTGCACCATGTCGGTGCCCGAGGGGAGACTCCGATGCGAGGGCGTCCATCCCAACCCAACGGCAGGTTACGCGAACGTGAACTGAGCAAACTCAAACACGAACTTCAGGTGATGCGTGAACAGGTATGTCCTTGTATTTGGAGTTCATTGGCTACATCAATTGAATTTCTATTTTTAAAATTATCCTGGGACGAAGAAAGGGTGAGCCAGCAAGCGTCGAGGAATATTGAATTGCTCTAGGTGGAACCAATTCCATAACGATATGCAGCTATCCACACTTTATTAGTGACAAGGTCAGGGTTCAGGTGAGCTAGTTTACACCATACTATTCTATCGTCAGTGGTAGAGGCCTCCATGATTCCAGAGGATGGGCACTAATTAATACTCAAGATAAGAATACAATTGGAGCCTTTAGTTCTGTCCACGCATATACTCGCCACCACGTTCATTTGCGCGTCCTGTGTTGTGCGGACGTTAGAAGACTGGGGTTTTAGTGCGAAAGATCGTTTACGAGGACTGGAAAAATTAACATTATGGTTGCGGACCATCCACCACTAGTACTTAACAAGTGGATGGAAAAACGTTAAGTCAATGCGGTTCGATGTGTCAGGTTCACCACACAGCAGTCCTCGAATCGATGTTCTCTGTTTGCCTGAATCTGTTGAGGGATGTTACAAGGAGATCTTGTGGTTTCGGTTCTACTTCTGGTTGCAACAGTCCCAATATTTGTGAATCTACCTATCACGGTGTATAAACGTTTGTGGTAATCCGTCATGGGCTGCAAGCCCATCGGAAAGACATGGGCATTCGTGTTACGGTTTCTAACCAGATGCATAAAGATCACGAAGTTACCTCGAACCAGCGTTTTCAAGAGTTCTGTGGATCAATTATTAGAAATATTGCGTACCGGCTGAAGAATTTTGCCAACAAATCTATTAATTAATTATAAAATAAACTTAAACTGTCTAGCAGAATGGTTGTCTCAAAAGAAACTCCCGTCTACTTACTTCCAATTGATTAATGGCAGTGTGTTGAGGTACATTTCGTGAGTTGGTCGGCCTCTGTTGTCAGGCGTACCACCGATGTGGATGCGAGATACTATCATTTAACTCTAGTTAGCCTCGTGGAGCCTAGATGGAAGAAGTGGTATGCTTTTCCATGAGGCATATCGTTACTTTAGCATTGTTGTCACATAATGGCCGCTAGCATTTAACCAGCAGTGTCAACAGTAGCTTGCCCCTGTTGCCGTTCGACATGCCACCGGTCAGCACAGTTACGCCGTAAAACCATTGGAGAGACCATATCGCGTAGAATGAGCGTTCATGCACCGGAGGCCTTCCTAATAGAACGCTGGTTTGCCTGTAGTTCCGTCTCTTTTAATAACTTGGGGACGGTAATATATGCCACCCAGAGCTTGCTGAATTTCTTTTCGAAAGCTAGCTCCGCAACTTCATTTTACCGCGCGTACACAGATATCGCGAATTCGTGGCTATGAAATTCCTCGGAAAGGAAAACGCAGTAGCAGTTGTTCGTGAGTGAATAATATGCCCTTTGTATGCCCAGCTTTTAATCGAAGGTGCAATTCCTATCGGAAATAACAATGTGGACCACATAGAGAAACTGATGACCGTTAATCTATCATAGACCATCTCAAATCCTAGTGGTAAGGAGTCAAACGGTCAGCCGTCAACTGACGAGTATAAATATGCACTGAACGCAATCTAAACGTGAACACCAAGGCAGGCATGTTCTCAAAAACAAACATGCTACTGATCCCATTGTGGCGTTTTCTTATGTCCACTGTGTGTTTTGACTACAAACACGAAATCCCAATTGGGACCACGTCTTACCATAAAGTAGAGTTGAGCCAGTACAAACACTGAAACCGCATCCCGATCCCATTGCACGACCCTGATCGTAGCGCTTGACGGTTAACACTCTTATCTCTAATCATCTGGTCCAATGTGTCTGCTATTTGCTTCTGAGACAAAATTGCAAGTCATTGTGAGCGGACATTAAGGGGACTATATGTAAGCAAAGTTCCTCAGTTGTTATAAAGTATAATTAAACTCTATTAGCAGACAAGGCAGCACCAAAAATGTGTCAGCAAAGTGCGTATGCAGTTCATTTTGTCCCGGTTAGGAGCTCCGGAGTTCGCTTGATCCAGGTGCCATGACTGTGGTCACCAGGATGAGATTGGTCAATAATGGAGGAGAAAGTGGGGTAACTACGATTTACACTAGAAGATAAATGGGGTTTGGGAGATGACAATCAACATTACTAGAACCAGAATATCAGAAACCAGGCGCAGTTGCTACCCCATCATGACGGATGAGCCTTCGTACGATTGATCCTGAAACCCGATTTCGGGAACAAAATTTGTGTCAACTTACCTATTTGTCCCCATTCAGTTTATACTTGACATCATGTCGCGTTAGGAGTGGTCGACTCACAGTCTTACCATTCTGAGCGAGGTGACGGGGAACAGTTCTAGCCCAAGCAGGTAAGCAAAGAACCTGGTCTGTATAACGTAGCGGCTCGAGGTTAACCATTACCGCAGCTCAGTATTGGGGGATCTCTTTCCAAATACCAGCTGTTTAATATAAATATTGCTCATTAAATGTTCACATTGGATAAGAGCAGCACTCCGTAAACACTGATTATAATCACTGATTGCTGACTTCTTTGTGTCTCAGCACCAGTTAGTCGTAATTTTTGCTGCTCATGGCAACACTTTTCGTATTGATCTGGTACATACTGTGTTCTATGCGCACAGTGATGGATAATGTTGGTGGAGCGGTGTATTTCAGATTTGTTGTTGTTTTGTTAGATACGAGAAGCAACTAAAAATACAGTTATTTCACGCTTTCTGGACTGAAATTCAAGTGAGAGTTATCAAACATCCTTTTCACTGATTTAGCCAAGGGAACTTGTTTTGCAAATGCTAATGACTATGGGGGATTTTGTCTTAGAAGCGTGGTAGACATCAATAAAGCCATCCGAAGAATCCCGAACATTTGGACCGTTCATTTGAATTAGTGTGCTTCTGTCTTCATTTTTACTGCCATGCGTCAAATGATTGTAAAACGCAATGTGTCTGATTTTTGTTGTGATGGAACCTCGCTGCTACACATGATCTCAATCTCTAACAAAGCCTATGGACAGGAAGATCATGGCTCCGATGGTTGAGGCTACAGAAGTTAACCATGGCCAATGAGTCGCTCACTCACAGGGCTTTTTGTTCCACTTGGCTGTTGCCACAACGCAAGCTCCATTTCAGCTCAAGTTCCATTACAGAAAATGATGGGATGATAAAAGAGTATTCTGGGGGTTATTACTCGGGCATGCCGTTGATCAGGTTCATTTGGCCCCGAAGCAACTGGATTACTCAGTTAATGTTCCCTTTTCTAAGTGTGATTGAACCATGAATTTACCAGTGGACTGCAGGTTTATATGGACTCAAAACAAAACAGCAGCACAATCTGAAGAATCAGTTACTGCACATACGAGAGTAGAGCAATAAGCTTCCGGATGCACAAAAAGTCTTAGTTTTACAACAAAATAAGCATTACATGTTCATGAAGGACTCTCCGCCAGCGTTTGTGCACAATTCCATACGCCCAAACTATTTAAAGAAGCAGCTAGACCATGATGTAGCGGGTAACCCTTCAAGAAACTCAATAAAGGCTTCTGCTGTAGTTTCTGGAGACTCGTACCGGATTTCACGAATCGTGCGCTCGACATTTGGGAACACAAATACTTCACACGAAGCCAGCTCTAAACTGTATGGTGGGTGACCAACCTCCAGGATACGTTCTCTAGCCAGAAAATCTACGGCGACATGGAACCTATGTGCAAGTGCGTTGTCACGGTGCATCAAAGTCCCTCGTGCTGGAGTCCTTAGACGACGCCTGGCTACAGATTGCAGCACTTGTGACAGACAGTGGGTTGCACACCAGTCTCCGGTGCTTGTGCGTTGCCTAAGAACGGTGCAGTAGCCACATGATCGATCTTGGCCACGAATACAGCCATCTGCTTGGCCGCACTGCGCTCAGGCCAGAACTTCTGAGGCCGCGCCCCATCAACGGCCGTCCACCGAGCCGATTTCGCTTAGTTTCTGGGTCGAAACTGTACACCCAGGTCTCATGACCACTGCGGATCTCCCAAGTAGCATCCGAACGTCCACCAGTAAACCTGGCAAGCATGGTGCAGCACCAATTCACCCGAGCTGCTTTCTGGTCCTTACTGAGCTGATGGTGTACCCAGCGTGCGCAAACCTCGCTGTGGCCGAGGTTTTCATGTAGGTTGGCACGAATTGATCCCGACGAGATCTTGATGACTCTCTCCAGCTGTAACACACTGTCATCCGTGCGTCCTCCTCCAGCATCGCTTGCACAGCGGAGATGTTGTCCGCAGTGGTGGCCTCCACAGGTCGACCACCACGTGCCTCACCATCCAGCGAACGTCTGCCACACTTGAATTCCGTAAACCATCCAACCACGGTGGTTTTTGAAGGTGCCACAACACCAAACGCAGCGCGCAATCGCTCAACACCCTGGTGCTGCTTTAAACCATATTTATTGTCATATACGATTAATGCCATCCAGTGACGTTGCCTGAGTTCCATACCTATAGTCAGAGCCTAGCATAACTTATGATTTGTGAGCTGTGTTGGGCTGCTGACATAGGGTTCTGTGAGTTGAGATCACTGAATGTTCCGAATGGATTACAGTTCACCTTTTTCTTGCCAGGTCGCCTGCGCCTAACCTGCGTACTGTGTAGCCGGAAGCTTATTCCCTCTCTCGTACTAGAAATGTACTGTGCGTGCAGCAAACTCCTTACTACTTGCAAGGGGTTATTAGTGTGTGATGAAGAGAAAGTTCTTGTTATTTATTTTCACCATACCATCTGATGGATACATATGTGAAAATTATTTTGTACTTAACAAGTTGTTTTAGACTAGCTTCGCAGCAAAGAAATTGTTCAATCTGTACTGTAGAAAGGTTCCAGCACGCAATCAAGAATATCCTTGTTGGGCTAGAGCTGGGCAAGTCATCTTTACGAAATGTCTTGTAGACCGCTAGCGGATTAGCTGCAACACCCGAAGAAAAGCATCTTTACTGAAATTTCAGTATGATCAGCTGCCCATCATTTGTTAGTGAATCACACCAAAAACTGCTGCTAAGTTCATAACTAGCTTATGTCTTGTCAGCAAGTGGCAGTATATTAAAACAGACTATCCCCTCGGTGGTCAATTGGGTAGCGAGGGGCAGACTAATGGGGGCGCTGCGCAATCTGCTCCAAATAAACTAGAGAACGTAGGATGCCAAACGATGCCTACTCCCCTATGCATCAGCTGCCATGCTTCGCCTGTGTTGTCATGGGGCTCCACAAAGGCTTCATCATAGACATCATTGGAGTGACAAGACTCACCATTTGAACCGTCTACTGGACGTCCATCGAACTGGACACCCAACAGATGACACAGTCCTGTCCAAACTGTGCACTCGTGAAGGATCGCTGGAGTATGCTAAATTTCTTCTTGACTATTGTTACGTAAATATAGGAGTCGGTTACATGTAAATTTCACTGGTTTTGTCTACGGGCACCTTTACTGCGTCAATTTTACATGCTTTTACTAGGTTATTCGAACTCAGTTTTGGCAACTAGCTTATTAAATCAGCCGTTAGGACAACAAATTATACAGAAGACAATCAGTGGCAGATTATCAGCCCACCAGCAGTCGGATCTTTTCTCGTTGTCTTATTGAACATCCTGCGAACCATACGAGACATGCAAACAGTCGATGGTGAAGGCGTGGATCGAAAAATGCGAATTCTGTGTGAATTACGGATTCGAATAAGTTGAGTGAACCAAACCGCGAGTCAAAAATACATAAGTGACATGCGTTCCAACCACACCTACATTATCGAATCAAAGTCCATGCTCAGATAAATTTGCCAAATCAGCGGTTGTTAGAATTGCTCTAGTCATAAATAGCTTTGAGTAGTTCCAAACGCACCAACTTTCATTGTTACTCAAACGTACTTGGTACATATCTGCCAATAGTTGATCCGAATATAGGCATGTCTGCCCTGAACATGGCGCGTTTGCATGCGAATAGATTTCGAACAAATCACCTGTGACCTAGGAATACAGGGTAGACAACAGTGATCTGACCTTTCCCAGAGGTAGGTGGTCACTATGCTGCTGAAGAAACGGGAAAACTAGCGACTGGAAGATTTCTTCAACAAAATCCCGTCCTCGAGGCTGTCAGAATTAGGTTCATAGGAAAAGAAATTAGTTGCGATGTTATAGCGTCTTTCACGATACCTTGTTGTGGTGCTGACAAGTGCAACCAATTTCGTTTACCCTGAGCACATATTCTCCAAGTGCCCACTATGTTGTGTAAATCTCTGCCTTCATTTGTGTCACCAGAATAACAACAATCAGGATCGGTTGATGGAACAATGATTTTATATGGGTAAAAAAGCTAATGCTTAACAGATCCCGTAGGATGGTTAATGACGAAAGTTCAACACATATTGGATTTACACCGGTGAACTCACTGAAGGATACGTAGTGTATGCCCCTTCAATCCAAGGTAAACTCATAAGGAATGACGGCAAATGGGATGTCGGTAAAAATCGTGTCTCCTGATCTTCAAATACAGGAGATAAAAATGGAACGCAATGTGGGATTTGACTGCCAGTGAAATCTTTTACAGACACTTGAGTTTAGAAGCAAATGTTGGTAGCTCAGGTTGTTTAGTTGATTGGCTGATTGTTCGCTGAGCTCGGCAGGTTGACTGCAAACGCGCCACACTGCTAAATACACTCGCACTGACGATGTCACCTCGAGTGGTGACGAAACGTTTGCAGTCAACCTGCCGAGCTCAGCGAACAATCAGCCAATCAACACTTGTGTTTATCCTTGGATAATGGGTCATGTAAGATGGTGCAGCGAAATAAGTGTACAGTCAATCTTGGATTTGAACTTTGCCAACGTGGGAGCACATATGACAGATTCCGGTAGGACACATTACGTTCTGCAAATGCGTGAGGAAAAGAAATTCCGATGGCACTCCAAACGACTGTACTGTTCAGCCAGCTTGAGATGGTGGCCTCTCGAATTACTGCTGTGACTGAGCTCTATCAAGTAGCGGCACGTGTGGTTGGGATCTCGAAAATTCTGATAAGTCAAAATAAGGCCCCCCCTCCGCAATCGCCGATACTGTCCACTGAAGACCCAGAGCACTTGTAGCCTACGTCTATACGGCAAATTATAGACCCTTTTACCTTCCTGGTTGCCCGGTGTTGGGGTATCTCTAAGTCGTTGAGATCTCTCCTCAGCCATGGCTGCCAGACCTGTATTGCGTATTTCACATGTGGCCGTATGTATGAGCCGAGGTTGTGGAAAAATCGAAGGGTCGTATCAACCGTATTAACGCTTCAGCAGGCCCACCTGTTGGATGCCCCTCCTAGAGGCGTTTTTAGGCTTCTTCGAAAATCCAAGGTCGACCTAGACCAAAACTCCCAGACTTGAGAAATAAAGCGGTACGCAGAAAAAGTTAACAGTTATTAACAGAAAAAGTTGACCAGTGAAGGATCAATAAGGACGGATGCATGAAAGGAAAGATAAAGCACTACATACAGAACGTCGCTGATCCCTCAATCGAATTGCTTTCAAATGATTTTTAGTTATTGAATTATTCGATCCCGAGCTCTTATCCGTCAATGTTCCGTTCCCTTTGGTACCGTCATCGACTCACTTCCGCCGATGTTGGTACACGCAAGGTTTGGGCACTCCCTTAGTACTCCGGGAATATACACGATTCAACCTAGTTATTGTACGTCCAGCAGACATCCTACGTAAGCGACAAAATTCGTCTGGAAGTTTTAAACAACTTATTTCCACGTGCATCAAATTAGCATCAAAGCGGACGCAATGTACAAGCGAAAAATTACACATTAGCAAGCACATCACAAAAATAATGCACGCAACTCAAGTAAACTGCAATGGTAATCAATTCGGTCCGAGAACCAACACACTTTAGAGATACGGGGGTGTAATGTGACAGCACCACAATGCACAGCATTCTCATAAGGCAAGTGAAATGATTGGATTGGGTGGTTACACGAATGGAGCTTGTGTTGTGGGAGCGTTGAAATGGGATGTGTTTGAAGCACTCAGCAAATTAGTCACAGATCCACTTGTGCGGAAGAAGTACTAAACAAATAATAGCAATGCGTGCGGAACACAGGGTAAACAAACCGTAGTAATCGGTGTGGAATAAGACGCGGAGGCACGTAATGAGGGCTATGGAAATGCGAAGTGAACTGTGCCTGTAGGAAAAATCAATGTCTGTACATATACCGGTTCGTAGAAGAGTGAACGCGAGATCGAGAGAGCTAAACAGACCACTGCACAAAGGAACGAAACGACAACTTGCATAATGGGTTTGACAACTATAACCGTACTCTTGGGGTGACGGATTTAGACAGAGAAAATAGACATTGAAGAGATCCGTAGTCTGAGCATCCGAAAATCTTTACCTTCCATACTGATACCAGTGACCTATTCAAGTTTAACTTGCGCTGCAAAGCTGGTGCATTTTTTCCTCAGGAGCATCCGTCCTCCAAAATCAAACGATGGTGAAATACCTCACAAACTGTTCTGCTCACACGTCCAATTGAGGCCTTGGTAAATTATCCAATGCCTAGGAGCTGTCCTCATATTACTAATATTACGTGAACTAAACAAATGATATATTGTCAGTATTTTGACTCAACTTGGAAATCTTTTGATCATCCGACTAGCGGATACACTCAAATGTCAATTTCATTTGAAGAGGAATTGCTGGATGCAGGGTGCATGTGTAACCATGTTTGAGTAAGCATCTTGCAGCGGAAGATTTTCTCGGTGGTATTAAATGAACCACTGAACAATTCATTGCTGTTCTATACAGTCCATTCTTCTCGTTTCTCCCTTAAAACAGATCAGATGTCCTATATGCCTGGACAGATCAAGAAATTTGGTGTTCATGTGCGGACATGCAACCTGTCAGTGGTGTGGAGATCAAGTTACTTCCTGTCCCATTTGCCGTCGGACGGTGGAGAGTAGGATAATTCTTTATTGAGTTCGAAACTGAAGTGAAACCATGCTTTGTACACCAAATTATTGAAAAATTGTGATATCCATCAATCGTTGTCAACAAACGCTGTTTTGTTACAATTCCATGAAAATCAATTCCGACGACTAATTGTGCAACGGTTTAGCTCTTATCAAAGGTAGTTTTATCGGTATTATGACGGATGAAGATGACCTATGTCTGAGGTAGAAGGATGATTTGAATTACTGTCCGGAGGCGCTCAACGATTCGGCTCGGTTTTCGCTGCACTGTGAGGTAATCGTACCAAACAGGCAGGCATAAATTCCCGGGACTGAACGAAAAGCATGGTTCAGCGTTGCTACTCACCAGCAACTAGTAGTGTGCAATATATGAGGAATATTGTTATATCGTTTATACCTGCTCAATCGCAAGGTGAGCGATTGGTGTCGCTTGAGTCAGACATAGCATTAGAGATCCGTGGAATGGAGACCCGATCTATTTCGTTTGTTCCGTACTTCTCTCTTTCTGTCTACATCACGAGGATGGAAAGCAATTATGCCTAACATATTCATATCAACGAAGTCCCTAAGTTAGCGATCAGCTGGGGCGCATTCGAAAGCTTAAAACCCCAACTCGACGAACCCTGTCTTCTGCACGTTCAAAACATGCATGACAATGGAGTATAAGCAGCCCTATACCGTAGTGAGATATCAGTCGTGGCAGTCCGCTGCCGTCGCCCATGGCTTAGTGGCATAAGTCATTGGCTCGTAAGAGTAACGTCGTGGGTTCGAATCTTTCAGGATTTGACGGGTGCTCGCTACTGACCAGTCCCAAAAGGATGAAAAAGGCGTCTAGCGCTTTCCTGCATGTGTGGTGGCTGTCTGCCTATGTTTAGCTGTGAAAAATCTTCACAAATGCCCAATAAAGCCCCCTACTACTCACGAACTCCCACAATATCGATTCTTCGACAAAAGGGCATAGGCACTAAGAGAAGCTAAAACTAAAAAGCTTTTGATTTTAACCCAAACGCCATCATTCCTTCTGGTTGATGCCGTATTTACTCTGTGTTTTGCATGCATCAACTTCTAAGCCCTTTTTCAACACAGGAGATATGTGTGCCACCATTTCGAAGGCTAGATGGAGCGATTCCCTCTCTAGTACAGGGCTGACGTTGCTCGGTCAACGACGGATGGATGTGGAAAGTAACCCGGGTTATTTGGCGTCGTGATACTAGATACTATCAATTGCAGCTAATCCGGTGAGTCTGCATACCTCATGACTAATATAATTGTGCACTCGTGACACACGACACACGGTACGCACGAACTGGACTAACCATGTTAGAGGATGAAACTAACCGACCTTTCCCACGACAGTTTTGTCAGCTTTGGTTCACGGCGAAGTAAATCGTAAATCTAAGGGCGTGGTTGAAGCCTATGCATTCCTCATCCCAAGCTCACACAATCATCAGCTATGACAGTTAAGGTGGACCCAGTGCAACTTGAGCGCTCTAGCCTTATCTTGTAAACCTGACACTTTAAATGAAGGGATCGCTTGTGTGTCGGGGTTCTCGGTTGTTACAGAAAACGTCTGTTTCTGGTAGTCTTAAATCCAGTTAACGTTCAAAGTTGTACGGGTGGATAAACCGGCAGCGGCGGTCCTATGTATTGGTTAATTTGGTGAACAATTCAATCAACGGCCTACAAACAGCCAAGTGACATTTTCAGGGGAAACACTAGAAGTTAGGTACTGCAGAAATGAAAGCGCTCCTCCCTCTTTCTAGTGATTTTTTCCATGGGTCCATATTTCTAGTAAGAATGCGTCGGTCTATACCAAAGTAAGAATAGCTTTATTTGTAGGATTTGGCTGTTATATGTATGTACAATGTGAAGGGTACTCATTGGGGACGGAAGACAGTTTCGAGGAATGAAAAGTTGCGTCCGGAATGACTGGGTTAGCATATGAAATACAACCGCGATATCAAGACAATGATGCTCGAACGTAGAAAGGTAATCATCGAATGAATTTTAGGCGAAACTAGCAATGAAGCTCGTCCGAATACTAGAGGAGGCCTGCCATACGGATCGGCGGTGGGTGTACGGAACACTGACCAAATTGGGATCAAGCAATGTGTGGAGTGCAGCCGGTCACAGTGGCCTGCCTCTTCTCTATCTTGACCATAGTGCACTATTGGTGATTCACTCGGTGTGCGATTCACGTAGCCGAATCGATCAATGTCCACCCCGTCTAACGATCGACCGAGGGCGTTCACAGCTTCAACAACTACCTAAATAGGAAACAGACGAAGCGTCAAAGAGTATCTGAAACCAACAGGAACTAGGTGTATCAGTATGGGTGAGTATACTGCAATGGCACTATTACAGTACACGCGTCGGAGCTTCCCATCAATTAGTCACACAGTCTTAAGAACGTATAATATCGAATTCAGACACACATTACGCAAGCAAGTGGCTATACGACGGTGGGATAAATTTCATCAGCTCAGCAAAACGTTCGAAAGACATGGTTAGATAAGGTAGCAATATAGTGAAGTTCGACAAAGATGGCATTTAGCTGTTGCCGTTTTAGATTAGTCGGGCAGCTTACCCTATATATGCACTCCGTAAGAAGAGTGCACGTTTACATAGTGCCACAGAAAAATATGTGAATTAAAACTGCTCTGAGCTAAATCAAAGGGTTTCATAGAACTGTTGGTTGCGCCCAAAAATATGCTAACCGAATGCGCAGTTGGGTTGCATTTCTGTGGAAGAAAGTAGGTGTGAATCAACGTAAATCATCGTGGCATAAATGTGAACTCGAAGCCCGGGGTTTGGAAAGCGGTGTTGATCAGAGAGCATAAAACCTCACCTGCAGTCTGAATACTGTTCTCATCAGTCCAGTTGGTAAGTTGAGCTTACGTGACAAAAAGTGAGGTAGGTGTAGATGCCCGAAAATATCAACAAGTTGGAAAACATTGCCTAAGAATTGCTAGAAGCGTTTACATAATCGGCTGAACTGGGGACCATCATTGTGCCACTCCGGTTACCAATGATTTGCCAAGAATAACTCAACAATAGGGGCCGTATGACCAAACCCAACAAGGGCCACAGATTAGCATGAGACAGGTTGAAAAAGTATGTGAAGAGATGTTGCCCTGCAGCATGTTAGGATCCTCTCGAGGCAAGAGACAGGCTTGCTTCTGTCGAGTTTTCAAAATGTTATGTCGCCTACCAACTTATCGATAAACGTGCATTCGAGAGTGCTCTGTTTTCAAGCAAGTAATTGTCTGAAATTTATCGACCAAGTCTGCGAAATCATTTATTTAGTCTAAAACAGATGGAATATGTTATTACATTTGCTGTCCGGTGCAAACCTAGGGGATGTGCTACACGCGGTACGGTAGCTCGTGTACGGAATTTATCACGATCTGTAAGCTGGGTGATGGACATAGCCCTCTTTAGTACCCGTCCAGTTTTGAGGGAAAAGTGAAACTTTCAGGCAGTTACCAGCGTACATGCACACACTTTCAGCCGGTAATTTTTAAACGTTTTGAGCACTGCTGTTTTCCTTACTTGCATACCGATAAGTTTAATTGTAACCATTTTTCGAAAATATCCGTCAGCGCCAACAGCACAGAAGCATTACACGGTTTTAGAATGTAGACGATAGTACTAACTAGTACGGAAGTAGTTGATATCATGCCCATAGGAAGTGAGCGAATGAATGGCTCTAAGCAGCCACTCTTCTATCTTGTATGCCGTTGACCCTGCATTAATTAATGATACACGATAGCACTGTGAATTAAAATTGTGAATTGAAAGGCTATTCAGATGACCGCAAGTACCTACTTGATAAACTTGATCGGGGTCCAGGTTGGTTAAATGATAATAGCTGAGATACGGGTTGTTAAACAGCGGGGAGGTCTCATACCATGCACCGTGGGAGACAATGACTGGATTCACAAACCATCTTTTGGGGGCCACAGACGATTCCCGTAGGACGACGGGACGTAATCGGATACGGTATCCAGTGATTGGAAGTCCTCCTTCCAACGGTGGGATCCAGTTGATGACGTGACTGTATGGATCGTTAGCGACGTAGCGATCCACGATCTAGTTGTGTAATGTAGTAAAAAGATAGGAGTGTTAACCAATAAAATACCTTAGTACCTCCACCCATTTAGAACTAATGGCGCTAAATTTCATATGAGAAGTTGGTAAGCCGATATCCCACTCTCAATCCACAAATATTTACTGGTAATACATGGTAGTGCAAATCGTAACCCAGTCTGGGAATTTAACGGACCAACTACGCATGTATGCAGCTGCAACGCAAAATCAACCTAATAGCCATATGAAGATGAAAATTTTGCATAGTACCCTTTGGTAAGATATTTTGGTCGCTTTCTACGCACAATCCATGTAGGTTAACTCGTATTCAGACAGTATTCCACAAACCTGGGTTATCGCTGCACAGGCGTTATTTCATTCGGTTGGGACTCATCTGCAATGCACTTCATCCAACTTTACCGGGAGTCATTTGCCAGTGGGTTGTGCTATTAACCCATAGGGAACGGCAACGTACCGTCACGACTGATATACTAGCTGTACTATACCGAGGCTCACTCGAATTTCCATGCTATTTAGGAGCTTTGCAGATGAAAGGGGTGGTTTCCAGAGCTACGGCTTCTCGTGAAGCAGCCATGTATGACATAGTTGCATCAAAACCCTTTACTCGCAAGTAATCAAGAGTTCCTTTTAATACCTTTTGATCGCGACCCCGCATACGTTGCCTACTATAAGTTTTAGCCCTATGAACCAACTCTTCTATAATCTAATAAATTCGTAACTTACAGCGGAGTGCAAGCCATGCTAAATTACACCTAGCTTATCAGTTATAACGGTCCATTTCTGTCACCCATAGCCTGGTGTGACAAGGGGCTTACGTCCAGTGGCCAGGTGCTCGGTTGTTGTTGGATCCGGAGGATACGCTCCACTAACGATTCCCACGGGAACAAAAACAGCCGCGCAGTGCTTTCCCAGATTAGTTGAATACTAACTGCCTACGAGTTAAATGTGAGGTATCACCTGTAAGCCTCGGAATTTTCCAATAAAAGTGTCGTAACTGTAAAAGCAGAGAAAAACAAAGCAGTGAATCCAAGGCTTTGATTCGCGTCATTAAGTGCTTAAAATAGTCCGTTAAATAAGGCTTGGATTTGTAGCCGCTTTGCTGACCGTTACAGTCAGTCATAAGTTTTGGATCGAATTACCCATGAAATCTGCGCATGCTAATCGTAATCGAGAATTTTCGTAAGAGCAGTGAATCCAGACTGAAATGAGACAAAAAGATCATTAACTGGAATGCTTGAGCAGTCGGAAGTTCTCACTTGTACCGGTCCGGGTCGTGTACTATCCAGCGTGCGAACAACAAAGCTCAATGATGTTCCAGTTCCAACAATATTTCTTGCCGATAAGCGAATCTGATACCCGGTTCCTCCAATAAGCCCATGAAGTCTCATTTTGGGCCGTCCATTTCCAGTAGAAGTATCCAAAGGGAAATAGACCGGGCCGTACCAACCTCCTTGGCCACTTATTGTGTAGTGTAATTCATATCCGATTGGATACAATCCACCGGTGTGTAAAGGAGGACCAATGAAGATTTCAATGGTGGACTGAGTGACGTGGTGTCCAATCAACTGGAAAAGAACAAAATTGAAGATTTTTGATGTTAGCCTAACACCGACGGTAGACAAATGCGAACTGCCACGGAAGTTTCAATGGATGTAGGTACACTCAAACGTAGCAACAGATAATTGCCGTGGGTTTTGCAAATCTTTATGTGCCTATTGTTATTCAGCCATCACACACTCTGGCCAAATTATAGCTTCTTCATCACCGGTAGGCAAAATAGTCGTTGCTTATTGTGACACATCACCACAGCCATGATGAACAATGTACAATGAGTTATAACGGGTAAAAATGCAAGTGCTTGACATGTCCCGTAGGATGGTTAGAGTGAGAAAAGATAGATCAAGGGATACTGGAATCGACGGTTGGGGCGATTACAGATTTAACTGCACTGCCGTATAAAGGGTTTGAAATTAGAATGTGCGCACACAAAGGCGGGTGGTTACTGATCACATAATAAGCGAGAAAAAAATAAAAAATAACAAGGACAACGCTTACTCGTGTGCAGCTATCTCGGGTCAACGGGATACAGAAATTCAGTTTCTATAGTAGTAGCGTTTATCAACTTTCGTGCAACGGGTGTGGAGTGACTCATTCTCGAGTAGGTTTATGGCACCTTCCACTGTCTGTTGTGCACTGGTGCCAGCATCTGGTGGTCCTGGGCTATAGCACGTAGTGTAAATGTGACAGAGTATCGCCAAGGTGTTTTTTAAAGGGATAGGGTGCGAGCATTAATTACATGTTCCGGGAGGACGTTCCAAGGCTGTGGGACTCAAAGAGATAAAACGTTTCGCCGACATTCCAGTCGGCTGTACTGCGTGACCAGCTTAAACTGATGATATTTTAGCGGGGTGTTTTGACTGAGCATCCGAAGGGCATGGCATGGGTGGTTGGGGTTTCTCAGCATCTGGTACACCATTATGAGATCGCCCCTTAGACGCCGATAACGTCCACTGTATATTTTGAGAGTCTTCAGCCTGAGTGGATAGGGGCGGCTGGTCAAACCTCTGACGCTCTTCGTTGCCCTACGTTGGGTAGTATCGAGCGCGGTGAGATGATGCTTGAGCCAGGTTTGCCACACTTGAATAGCGTATTCCGCGTGCGGCCTCACGTACGCACTAAGCACTTTTGGGAAGACTGAAGGGTCAAACTTCCCGAAGGCTCTACGAAGAAGGCCGAGGTACTGGTTCGCTTTCTTAGCTGCCTTTTCAGTCTGCCTCGAACAACCGAAGTCATCTTGAAGTAGCACGCCGAGATCGCACTCATGAGAATCCCGCTATAGAATTTGTGCTCCTAGACGGTACTTGTGCATATTCTTGTGCCTTATGCTGAGAACTTTGCACTTGGTGACGTTGAAATGCAGCATGTTCTCGATGGACCATGTGTACGCTTTGTCAAGGTCCTCCTGTAACACTGTGTGATTCTCCGCTTCAGCTATAGTACGCCATACCTTTAGATCATCAGCGAATCGCAAACAATTAGAAGATACCACGCTCGTGAGATCATTTATGAAAACCAGGAACAGGCGGGGTTCAAGTACCGAGCTCTGAGGGACGCCGAACTGAACTACGATGGATTCCGATAGGTTGCTTCGAACCCTCACATTCAGGTGACGTTGCACGAGAAAGTCTCCTATCCAGGCCAGAACGGATCGCCGATTCCATATTTCTGGAGTTTGTGGAGTAGAATGCGATGGTCTAGACTGTCGAATGCCTTTGAGAAATCCGGGTAGGCCGCGTCGACTCCTATACCAGCGTCCACAGATTCCATCCAGCTTGCACGAGCAATCAAGAGATTAGTTGTACAGGAGCGATTTTGGCGAAATCCATGCTGCTTCGGAACGAGCATTTTGTTGTTCTCTAGGTACCCCATCAACGCCTCAGCTACAATGGACTCCATAACCTTGGAGATCACAGGAAGTAGTGTTATCGGGGGATAATTTGCTGGTTCAGCACGGTTACCAATTTTGTAGATAGGCGTGATGATTCCGTGCTTCCACATCGTGGGGACGTGCATCTCGTTCAGACATGGTTGAAAGAAAATTGCTAGTGGTCTTGACAAACTCATGGCAGCAACTTTCAACGTCTTCGGGCGAATGCCGTCCGCACCCAGGGAGCTGAACTCGCGCAGAGACATCAGTTTCTTCAGTACAGCTTCGGATGTGAACGATATGTGATTAAGCCCTGACGGCGGCGTTATCTGCTTAGGCAAGATGTATGATGATTACGCGCTATGGAAGGTACGGCCAAATTGTTGGCCAAGGAAGTTGACCGCCTCTTGTGCGGTCTAGGCTAACCTGCATGCTGTGTGCAGAGCAGGAATACCGCGCTTAACACGGCGCAAATTATTTTCGTGTCTGTATAGCAGTTTGGGATTGGTGCAAGCGCAGTAGGCTTAACAGACTAAAGCTCACCCACCGACGGCTTCAAAATGAGGTCCTAATCAGTCATTAACCGTCGTGACAGGCATTGTCCGCCTCGACTCGGTGGCTTAGCGGTATAGGCTTCGGATGGCACCCCAATGGCCCCGTATTCGAGTGCATTCATGCTATCTCCACTCCAAGAGATCAAATGACGTCAAGACGAGTCATCGTGTGCATTGTTTCCAGGTGGGTAACACCCAATATTCAGCTGCTTCAGCTACTGTCCCAGTGATCGAACTGTTCAACGTACACTTCAATGTGCAGCGCGATTTGCACTGCGATTACGCGTGGTAATTCATTCGCATCAAGAGTGTTTCAATCCGCCATGACGCGCTCTGACAAGCATTGCTCGCCGTGCGTCGGTGGCTTAGTAGTAGTGGTGTCGGTTGACATCCCACTGGCCACTAGTTCTAGTGCTTGCTATCTCCACATGATAAATTCAACGAGCACGAAACGGTCGCGAAATGCTACCTTACGGACTTTCGATACACAACATTCACCTGTTTAAAATGCGGTACTGATAGTCGAATTGACTAAAAATCACTTCACTGTGGATCGAGGTCCAGATTGAGACTGCGTATCGTAATTCATCTACACACGGGTGCTTCGAGCTGAACCCACTAAATCAAAGCTTGTTTAAGCTTAACTGAATTCAACTCATGTTATCCACCGTTGTTGCATGCAGATTGTATCAGATTTATAGTTGGACTGCGCTTAACTATCATTCATCTTTCATATATCAGGTCTGACCTCACTCGATGCGCGTTCTGAATAGTGCCCACCCATTCGGTGACGGTAGCGAGATTCCTGGATTAAGGTGACTGCTGACCGTTATGGCAGGGAACGGAATGCACAGTAGTTACGACAACATTGGATTCAAAATTGGTTCCAGCTCGGAACAGATCATGATTTAGTCAAAATCGTGTCCATATCTACATCGAAATTTAGGATCCGTTGACTGTGGTTAAGTATTGTTAATGGCCTTGCATACAATAAGGCAATAAAGCCTGACAGTCGGTAATAGGCGGGCTGGGGGAATGCCTGCCTTTCCGAAGTTCTCGTGCCTCAAGCAGGCGTCTCCGCAGCTCATCTGTGGACTCACGGCCATCTTAGGTGCTTCATGTTTGATCTCACTTGCAGTAACAAGCAAATGTTGGACTGGGTTGTATTGTTCGCTTAAGCTGTTTCGTACAAAGCGTGGATACTGTTGTCGAAGGAACTATAGTTTTAACCAAGAGTGAATTAGCTAACGCCTTTCGTAGAAGTCAGACTTAGCGGCCTAGCGGATACAAGTTGAAGCATTTCAGGAAACTACTACAACATCTTGTACTGCGTTTCTCAAACTTTCACCAGCGTGAAATATCGTGCTTAGATTCATGCAACCAGACACATTCATGGAACGGTGTCTGGAATGAGAATTACCACTAGTTAAAAACGGTAATCTGCTTGCAAGTGCGAATAGCTCACCACTGGTTGCCCGGGAACTGACGCTCGTCGAAACTGAACTCGGCTCTGATTGGTACCTCTTAAATTGGTAGCTTTACAAACATATTCGTCGTAAATGAAATGCTCTGTATGCCGACACGGTTGCACTTGTAGCCACGACTGACTCCAATTCCAATAATCGAGTGATATTATGGTGAAGGTTGAGTTCACCCCGTTCAAGATTTGTTCACCGCGTCGATACCATGTCCTAGAGGAGAAAGCCACAGACGTTGAATAGCAATCAAGGTGTTTAGGAACGACAATGATCAGGAAACTAAACATTTATTTATTTGAAAATAGTGTCAGCTCCCACTCTTCTCACCAACCGAATAAACTGCTCAGGAAACCGGAAATCAGAAACATGTAACAATGCAGGCTTGATAAAGAGATGTACGCCAAGATTTTACTCTTGTTATTGTTAAATTTTGAATGAAAAGTGATTCGAAGATGAGGTACTAAGCTCTTGCGCGTCCCCATTCCACATTACACTTACGATTAAAAGTGGTTCGGACTGAATCCCTCCTTTCATGTTCCACATCATGATGGTCCCATAGGTGTTGGCTGTTGAATCATCACGAAGACTAAGCTCGTTCGCTAAAAATGACAACTTCTGTGACCTTTAAATACAGGTGTCACAAAATTCACAAGCAATATATGTAGTCCAACTCTTTCTATAGTTTGCATTATAGTTAAGCAACCGAACAGGGAGGCTAATCTATAACCATACGTCCACGGACAGAATCGTACATGATATGTGTTAGCTGCGTTAGCCTCTGAAGAAATGGCACCAAGTGGTAATATGTGAATACGCTGGGGTGGATTAGCGAATATAATCTGGAGAACCAGAACAAGCTAACAGGTTAATAAGAAGAAATTTTACACTTCAACGATCATTTCATTTGACCAACTGCAGTTCGCACCCGTTTGGGCTGCGCTAATCTTTCTTTTACCACCGTTAAGCTATACCACACAAAACCTCAAGCATTGTTTGTGCTAGGAAAATAATACGCAACCAGGCTGCTAAGTAGCAAGCGGAAATTTTTATAGGGGCATTTAATACTTTCAGATCCGAACCTGCAGTTACTTAGCTACAACTTTTCATTAAACAACAAGTTTTGAATTACTTGGTTCTACGTAGAAATGATCAAAATATTCCACGTGGGGATCACGTTCACACCAGCAATAACTAAGACTGTATTATCCGAATTAGGGACCAAGATTCACTTGACATAATGGTCAGTAAGGAGGGACACTAACCCATATGACGGCGTGGGTCGTCTAGCAAGTATAGCTACAGTTAGCTTTTATGCTCCATGGGAATTTAGTAGAAGTGACGAACTTAGCAAACGTTGTGTTGAAAACATACTTGCGCCGTTTAACAAACACAAGGAGAGTTGTTCATTTCAGTGACAATGCAACAAAAGCACTATTATGAGAACATACGAACAATGAGGAACAATCGTAATGGAATACATCGGGAGGCGTCAGTTGTCAACTGTTGTATCCAGGGTTCCATTCAAAGCTCCACCTATCTCTACCCAGAGAATGCAGTGTTTAGCGTGATCAGCACCCAAACTGTCCCTTTCCAAGAAGTCGTTTACTTACCTGTTTCCAAGGATAACATGAATTTTCAAGAAAAGCCCTACCAGGGTCCGATGGAATGCGCACTGCTGACGATTCCCGAAAACATGAAACGCGCGTACGGTGCTTTTCCGGGCGTGTGATGGCTGTCTACATGAGTCTAGATGTGACGAATTTCCACTTATACCATTCAACTCCCCCTACTACCTCTGTAAAAGCGTAACTGTTGAGCCGATGAACAGCTTATGCATTATGGTATAGAGCTTTTAAATAAAAAGCCATGAGCACATATCTTGAGACAAATTTGTCCACTAAGGATGAGGATGAGAATTTTGTATTATTTACTTTTAAACAGCATTCGTAATTAGCAGTTATGCTAACGTTTCAGTAATTTTAGGGAATAATGGAAATTTCAAATATACAGCTTCGCTTTGGTAATAGTCAAAAACACATGCACGGAGATTTTGCTTCAACCTCATGGAAAGCGGCCAATCCCAGATGCTACTACACAGATACTGTCCCGTAAAAGTTACCGCTCATTAAGTGACCAATCCCAAAGCAGCCAATAGCACCCCACTTTGTGTAATCCTCTGTTATACCATCGTCTGATTTGGAATTGGTCACTCGACGAACGGTACGCATTTGTAGGAGCGTTTACACCTGTTGGATGCAATTTGATTGCTTTAAGGACCAACTAGATGTTTAAGAAGGAACATAATTAGCGTAAGAATACATTTGAAATTGCTATGAATGCAGTTGGCTGGGAAAATGCATAGTCGCTGACTGCCGTACTTCTTCATTGCATCGCTTTCTTGCACCTTGATAAGCAATAGCATTCTACTGTACCTTACCGCAATCATGTAACGCTTGCAAGCGATGCATCTGCGCGCGAAATCTTGCCATCACTGCAGTTGCTTATCCTTCGAAATCATCGGACTAATCGCAGGCGCATTTCATGTATGTACTCGAAATAGTGCATTGCATGACGCTGGCCGTAGGGCTGAATACAACAACGTATGAAGAGGAATTCACCGGTTCTTAGTGATTTTAAGCATGGCTGCTGATAACAACGGCAAGAATGATATCAGAACCTATCTGTATGTGCGTGCTGTTTCGCTTACTCTTGTGTCTTATACTTTTTCCTTATCCTCTGGTGAAAAAATGGGCTAATCTTTGCTATTTAACTCATGGCATTTCTGATAATGCGCGTTCTTGAGTTCGCAACGGAAGCGATAGAATAGTGTTCTAATTCCGGTTCATAGTTCACCATTAATTCAACGGTTTAAAAATGGTTTTAAACGTACTCCAAGATGCTTTGAAGAGACATTTATCTTTGCACCCGTAAGCACGGATTTTCTGGGTGGGCTTCCTGCACAGTGCTGCCTGATAACCCGTACTATTCTACGTCGCGCACTGTCGCAAATTTCTGACACCCTTCGTTGTCGTGGATTTATTTTCCACTATCTTATAATACCCTGACCAGTTTGCACTTATTCGACTGGGATTTAGGGCTCTGATACAGAAGAAAATGTGATAGCTCAGGTTGTTCATTTGTTAGATGAACTGTTCTCCGAGGTTGCCAATTTGCTCGTCACCAGTCGAGGTGACCTCATCAGTGCGTTAGTGTATAGCGTAGTGATGCGCATCGCTATCCCACTCGCATTACATGATATGGTCCGTTTCAATCGGATGCTGAAATAACCCGAACCATAAGTGTACTTGACAGCCCTCCTCACAACGTAGCGGGGGTGGGGGGGGCAGCAAATGTTTTCATGTAAATAAGCTGGTGAGTCACTCAAAAATGGAATTTCCTCCTTGCTCCCGTTACCTTTACTTCTACTGTTGTAACACGCCTTCAAGTCATCCTAGGTCAGTTATCAAACAATCGCATTTTACCCCCCCCCCCCACCCTTATTAATCATTGTTACATCGCCTACCTCGCTTTGTGGTGAGCTTACAATGGATATTATGAAATCGGGTTCACGACCGGGTGTTTCAGCGGAGAACTATTACAAAATACTTGTAGTGCGCAAGCTTATGGATGCAAGAAAAATATGCGCTGGTTTCTGAGATATATTCAGTCAGAAACACTCAGTTCCAAGGTCACATTCAAGGAACTATAAACACTCTGATCACCGTAACATTTTATCAGACTGGTAGGAGGCATCGCAGGTGTATTTCAAAAGCTTTGTTTACTCACCATACAGGGTGTGGCATGCCGAAAGAACTGCAGCTCAAATTCGTGGAATTATCTCTCCACCCAAAGCGCAGCGCACTCCATTCATCTTTGTCTTCTGTGTTCGAACGAGGCATCATTTGCGGACGTTGCATCACTTGAATGGTTGTGTTCCAACATTTCGGAAGACCTACGTTGTGTGCATGGCAGGTGTAATTCCATGTATCGTGGTGGCTGCAGTTTCAACGCAAGAAGGAAAGAATACACCAGTTAGGAAAGATGGTCTCTTGGGCGTTAAAACTAGTGGATGACGCGGAGTAGACAATATATGTGACGCAGTTTCTCCTGTATTGGAGTAAAGTACATGCTTGCACGGCTTAATGTCCATATTTTATTCCACAATTGGCATCCTCTTTGGTTTTATCCCTTCTGATGGAAGATGGCTGTTTAAGTTTAAAACGGCTACGTCATTAGCTTTGCATACTACTTCTTTCCATCAAAGCCACCTAAGAGTTTGGAGTTTATCGCAATGCATTATGAAATCTTGCTAACCCTTATTATATTATTATTATTCAACACTTGACCAATCTACAATTGGCAGTGCCAAAACACATAGTCAACAACAACAAAAGGAGGGAAACGGGTAGTCAGCGAAAGGATTTGGTAGATTTAGAAGGTTAATGTGTTGTGTGGACAGAAATTTTCCCGGTTGCCTAGGCCGAGGAAGATTGCTAACCCTTAGTAAACCGGGAGTCGGAAGATCTTAGCCGATTTCATAACTCGCTACGTGGTCAGTCACAAAAGTGAACTATGTGAGCCAGGATACTATCTTGGTTGTTGCTTCAACGTATGTGACGGATGCAGTAGAGCTGACAAGGTGCTGCAGTCCATACAAAGAAGAATTACTGCCACAGCCGTCCTATGGCTGGCCACATTGACAGGCTAAATCCGAAACCAGATGCCGCCAACTAATCTCAACTGTCTAGCAACTAGACAAAGAGCCAGTAAAACCCATGGTGAACAGCGGATAAGAGGAAGTCATGGCGTCATGTTCCTCATGACATAGTAGTTGAAGGTGGGCAAAACAGTTAATCTAATATGCTGCAGGAAGAAAGGACCATTTTGACATAATATAGAACAAAACATTCTTAGTTTGTTTTTCACACGCCGCTTTTGTTCTTTTTTGTCATTTTAATATTTGTAGTATTAAACATGTGAACCAATACAATACTGTACACAATTATTCCACTGATTCCGGCTGCGGACCATATCTTCAAGAGTGCTAAGCCATTGGTACTCCTCATCTTATGGTCCCCATCCTGGAAGACGTACCGATCCAACAGCGGCTAGACACGACGTTAGCGATTTCATGTGCTGTCGCCAAGTGGAAAGCTGACCACCACGCGGTCGCCTCCAGCCAGGTCCTTGACGAGCGAATAGAGCGCGACGCGGTAGACGCTCAGGTGCCATGCGTCGGACGTGACCGAGCCATCTTAACTGGCGCAACAAAACCAGTTTGTTGGAGGGAATACTCGCATTCCCCAAGATGCGACGTCGAACCTCATTACTATTAACTCGGTGTTGCCATCAAACACGAGCGGTCCTCCTTAAGCAACCGTTATCGAAAGCAGAAAGACGACGCATGTCTTCCACGCGAATCGGCCAGGACTCGCTCCCAGACCACGACCATGAGCGTACTGATGCACTGTAAACGCGGCCCTTTACTGAGAATGAGACGTCGCGACGACGCCACAAGTGCCTCAGCTTGACAAATGCTGATCGAGCGTTAGCGATACTAAGAGAAACTTCGTTGTTGATAGTGCCATCAGCAGAAACACATCTCCCAAGGTAGACGAAACTATCTACCTGTTCAAGTTGTGCACCTGAGAGTGAGCACGGGAGCAGGTAAAAGCCAAACCTTGAGTAGTACTTTACCCTTCGATGGGGCGAAGCTCATGCCATACTTAGTTGCTTCAACCCCACAAACGATCTAGAATGACTTGCACACCCTGAGGATCGTCACCAGTTAAGACGATATCATCAACATAATCTAAGCCGGTCGTGCGCTTACCCGGTAGAAGCTCTAGACCAAATTTTGGAAACTTTCTAGAGCACTTGATAGAACGTCTTCGATTTCGAATTTGAAGAGGAATGGGGAGGTCATAGGGCAGCCCTGTCGCACACCGTTATTGACAGCGAATTGCGAGGAAAGCTTGCCATAGACACTCACTCTGCCAGATGTATGAAGGTAAAGTGCTCATAAGATGGCGGTATATTTCTCTGGCACCCCGTTCTTTAACAAGCAACGCCATAAAGCAGGTCGATCAACGGAGTCAAAAGCTGCACGTATGTCTAAGAATGCGACGATATTGGGCCTGTGATAAATGTGGCGATGTTTGAGGAGCTGGCGGAGCGTGAAGATTTGATCCACGCATCCGCGGCCAGGACGGAAATCAGCTTGTTCTTCACGGTAGTATGATTCATGTACTGGAGATCGTCTGCCGAGCAGAATGGATGCCAATAGCTTAGAGGCAATCGAGATAAGACTAATCCCGCGATGATTTGCACATGAAGTGCGAGCGCCTTTATTGAAAATTGGGACAATAACTGATTCGACCCAAGAGGAAGACACTTTCTCTTCATGCCAGATTTTCGCGAACAGCGAGGTCAGCTGGTTAATGATCGCCACGCGGCCGTACTTGAACAGCTCCGGAGGATGTCCGTCTGAGCCGGCAGCCGTAAAGCGCTTCAAACCTCGAATCTCGAGGCAGAGTTCCGCTTCGCTGGGTGGATTCAGTGGGACGAGTCAGGGTGGACAACACGGTGTACAGCATGTACAAATAGATGGTGGAGGCCAGTTGAACTGCGAGTGAAAGTGCTCGGTCCAGCGGTCCATACGTCTTTGTTAGTTGGTAATCGGAGACTCATGCACCTCGTAAATAACCTCACTTACACCAGGCTACCTGAGGCCAGTGGACTGAATGAGTTGGAAAAGCTTGCGAGTGTTGCCAGAGAGGGCAGCGGTCTCCATCTCTAAAGCACTCTCAGAACACCATGCCTCGCGATCCTTGCGTAAGCTTTGCTTGAGCAGCCGGTTGGCAGACCGGCGCCGCTCATTGCAATCTGATTCCCCGGAGATATTTTTGCAGTGTTCGAACAGGTCCAGAGGACGAGCAGAGATCCAAGCCTTTAAGGGGCGTCAAGCTAGGCCACAGCTTGACTGTCCGCAAATGGTCACCGCTTTCCATATATAAGTCTAGTGTTGCTCCACGTCTTGCGGTAGATTGCAACTGAGTGCGTATGCTAGTGAAAATTGACAGGTCGCCTGGACAGAGGCATTAAATAATCTGTTTACCTCAACCTTGCAGTGCTTCGTGTTTCGGGACCCCCAAAACACACACAGAGTTTCGCGCAGACCAGTGCATGAACGAAGGGGACCAAAAGGACCTGTAGTTCAGTACGCCGCCAACCCATCTGAAGCTAATTGCAATGTGATCAATTTGAGACCACACATGTGTTGAAGAAGGGGGACGCCACGGTGCGGAACGCTTCTTCGTACGCCTGAAGTTAGTGCTCGAAAGAAACAGACGGTCGTCTTCGCACAATGTGAGAAGTCTCTCTCCGTTATCGGAGAGGTTCTCATCGAGCGCGTGATGACCACCAAGGTGGTGTGTGGGTAACAGGCGGCCAACCCGTGCATTAAAATGCTCAGCAAGAACAACGACATCCGCCTTTTTTGAATTAGTCAAGAGCTGACGTAGATCCCGGTAGAAATCAACCTTGACCGAGTCACCACTGCAGTCAGTTGGAGCGTACACGGAGATCACAAACAATTTGCGTCGCTTTTGCAACGCTTGTTGATTCCACATGAACACCGAAACCGAACTGCACAGTCGGCTGTTAATTGGGAACAAGTCCGGTAGTGCCGCCTCGGCCTTGCCACTGAGTGCTATACCTACACCAGGCAAAACCGCTGAGGCTGCTTCTTGATCTTCAGAAAGACGCAGGTGATATCTGGCTTAATGGTCAGTGGGGGATGTCAATGTAAGCACAGTGCTGGGATCTTGCAACCGGGTTTCTGAAAGGCAGTAGGCATCAATGTCTAGGGACTCTAGGGCGCGCGCTAGACCGGCTTGCTGTGCAATCTGCATGAGTGTCCGAACGTTGAAGCATGCCAGACGGAACAAGGATCGGGGACGAAAAGAGCCAAAGGTTGAACTCCGTGGTCCGCGGTGCAACTGGAATCGCAGCCAGATTGTTGAACACATGAATCGGGTAACGGAAAGTGAGGATTGTTAGCAAACAAACAATTGGCGTGTGATGAAGTCGCGTGAATGTGAGAAGCAGAAACAATAGCTGATGAGCACGTTGTAGTGCAGCCCATGGTTTTGTGAGAGGGCGTGATACTACCCGGTTGCCGAAGCCGAAGTAAGAAGTTGACTTAGGGGACTGCACCCCGAGTTTTTGGCTAAATAACCTACCCGCAAGGCAGCAGGGCGAATTTAGGGAATCGCGCCCATTGAGAGGCGCTGACTGAATTTTTAGTTCATGTGTGTTTGTTTGGTAGATCATCAAATAGGAGCCCAATAGTCCCCATGAAATCAGCACAGTTGCTGGACTACCATGCCCCGCCGAGGTGGAACATTGTCGCCGAACACTTGACTGGAACGAGTTACAAACGAACCGCCCAGCTGGCACCACGAGGTAGTTCGGCAAGCCAGCCCGTACGTATAATGTTAGCACATCATTTTGACACCTTCGGCTACTGATACGGCATCATTGTCATATTTAGAAGTGTATGAGGGGAACCTACTGAACCAGTGTTCATGTGTAGGTTATAAAATAACCTGAAATGAGAGCGGCAATCACTTCGGTTAATGGTAGTTCAGCCAAAAGTGCATGTTACACTGATTAGGTAACGTAAATCGGTGTTATCCAGTAAAGCAAATTCCTCCGTGTGAATAAATGTCCTGCAAGCAAAGCGATTATATTAAATGGTTCATAGCGAGGTTAGCGGAGTCCATGCAAGAAATCGATCAGCCAACTCATCACATAGAAAAGTAGAAAAGGAAATCAAACTGTAACATTTCCTACACGGATAAAACTTAAGCAACTTGGAGCAGACGTAGTAAATCCATCACACGTCCACGACGAGGGCGGTTACAATTTGCCATCACGGCCACTACACAAGAAGCAGTCAGTTAATTGGAACGGAACAATCATTTTTATAGCTA